AGCTGCTTAAGAATTACCAAAACACAAAAAAAAATGTGACTAAACTGACTCACGTTAGTCATGACTGGGCCGGGTGCAGAACAATTTTCCTTAATTATGCACTCGTTTCACAATTTTAATATTACCAACCAACCCAAAATCTGGTCACCCTAATCGTAGCTGATGTCATCAACATTCCCTGGGGGTATGAAGCTAACTGAAAGCACTGCTCTGTCTGAAGCTCTGTTACTCAAATTAGACTCTGATTTTTATTTGAACACAATCTGACCAGAAAGAGATGACTTGGTTGGATCTACAACAGGTGAGAGGATTTTAAAATTAGTCAGGTAGCTTTATTAGCCAACAGTTTTTTCAGTTAGTCACTCTCACCTTTTTTGTTGAAAATCGCCTAAACTTGATCATGAACGCTCGCATTGATTACTGGCTCCTGAAAATTAGTTGTTTAATTCCATTTCATATTTTTTCTTGAGTTTTCAGACAATCTTCTTTGTCAGTGTTGGCTCATGAGTGCATTGTGTCACCATGGTAACTGATGAACATCCCCAACGTGATGCCATTGCAGAGTATCAATGGTCCATCTTCTTCCCCCGAACTCAGAACCCTTGCCCCTTACTACATTTCAACATTTTGTAATCCATCATCATTTCAGTGTTCAAATTCTGTGCATTGTTTTTAGCTTCTTACAAATGTCTTCTCTTTTCAATGTGCCAGCAGATGCAGTGGTATAGTGTCCTTGTTTGGATGATCCTAGTTTAATCCTGATGTAGACTTGTTTTGATCCTGATCTAGTCCTGGTTTAGTCCTTGATTAATCTCCATTTAATAAAATTTTGATGCAGTATTTATGTGTGAAGGCACCCATATTGTCATTAGTTTTAAATATCTGAAATGGCGTCTAGCTAATTACCATGTGCACTTTTCTATAGCTGATGTTGTATCTCTCTAATATTTCCAAGTGGAGAGTGTGTTGTTTCTTGAGCAGAAACCAGTCTCCCTATAGACCACATTGTCTCATCACATACACATGTAATTACTGCACCACTGTCCAGCCCTATTATTTAAACAGGCCAACACTGGGGAGTCTCCTCTTTTGCAGTCTGTGACAAACCAAAAGATTTGTAAGGAAAAGCAAACAAATTGGTAGACAAATATTAGTGGTAGAATTATACACAATACAATGAAGGCATTTTTACTACAGATATGAATGACTAAAATATTAACTTGACCATGTTTTTCTTAAAGGTGCAACGCGTTTGTTCGAGGTGGAGGGTCCATCAAATGCTTTTCTCCATGGATATGTTATTGCTTTGTCTGGAATGTTTCACAGTATGGTATTAAACCTTTCAATCTTCATGGAAACCAAACCAGACCAAGTTACAGGTCAGATCTGTGAAGAGGAAACTCTGCTCACAGTCAGAATGTCTGTTTTTCTAGGCACTTAAGCAATAAAACCATCTGTAATTGAATAAATGTCAGTTGGATCTGTTTAATGTCAAATTGTGGAACATTCTAAGCAGATCAATGACTTATCCATAGAAACAAGAAGGTGCTCCCAACCGAAATGTTACACTGTGCACCTTTAAGTCAAGAGGTCATTTTCTACTCTAATGTCCTTTGTCCACATATTTTGCAGACTTGTTCTCACAGCATAAACGATTGAGTCTTCACAGTTATGCTGAATATTGTGTGGACCGAGTAAAAAGCTGTAGTTTGCAGATGTTGACCTTAAAAGACCTCAGTCCCTGGACTTGGATGGGCTCAGACCACAGCTCAGGGACTACACTTGAGTTCTCACTAACAACACCAGAGATTGTTGCCTGGAGACAGATTTGAAACATTTTGGTGAGATGCAGGAGACGCCTAACAATGATCTATGAGGATTCACTCAGCAGACCAGATCTCAGACTCCAGAGAGATTACAATTGGAAAACCTCTGCACATTTATCTACACTAAAGCAGAGCAGTGTTTTCAGTGTGATGTTGCTAATTTATAATCTGCAGTTATTAGGCATATCTTGAACACAGTATGTCTTTGTGTTACCTGCCCAGGGACCACAGATGGAAATTAGCACTTTTGCTGTCATCTAACCTATTTACACTCTAATTATAAATATTAATTCATTTGCACTGTCTGTATTAAAAGGCCCATATTACACATAATTGACTCTTTATGTTTTCAGTCAAAAACATGCCTGGGGTTGTGTTTTGTTTCATTCACACATGTATGATCAATCCTGGTCTGTCTCCAAAGCTCAAAATGCACTGTTCCACTTTGTGATGTCATGAAGAGGTAGTTTTTCAAGTAAACAGCTACCTTGGTTTAAAAACACAGTATTACCGCATGACATCACAAGGTGAAAGAGAGCATTTTCAAAATTAAGAGAAGAACTCAGCATAGGTTGTGTGTTAAACATTTGTGAGTGAAACAAAACACAACTTCAAGTGTGTTTGTAATCAGACATAGACCAGAAAATAGCGTAATTATTAAATTAAATAAACAGGTAATTGAGTAGATAGGAAATACATAAAAATATATGTGTACTAAAAAGGTAGTCAGTACTGTTGTTGTCATTGCAAACATGATATGACAGGATGTGGCTCTAAATTATTCTAAATTAATTGCTGGTAGATTCACTAAAGAGATTATGCTCATAATTACTGTGGTCATATTTTGATGAAATTATAAATCCACTAATTGTAATAGATTGTAATGGACACTGAGATTAGACTCTGCAGTGAGGAGCTTCTGTAAACCACTGCAGCCTGAGCTCTACATCAGTAATGACACGATGTGATTTTGCAACAGGACGTCCCAGGTGTACTGTTTATATAACCCCTCCCCCCCTCTCTCTTTGTCTCTCTCTTTTTGTCTTTCTCTTATTGTGACTCACATGTTTTAGCCTCTCTCCTATTCTCTCTCTCTCTCCCTTTCTTGCTCACTCTACCCTATCATTCTGCCTCTCTGTCTTTCTCTCTTCATCTCTCTCTCCTCCCATCCCTCTTGCGCTCTCTCTTTCTCTCTCTTGCTCTCTTGCTTGCTCTCCCTTTTCCCGTCTGTCTATCCCTCTCCTACTTTCTCTCTCTCCTTTCTTGCCCTCTCCCCCCCCATCTTTCTTCCTTCTTCTGTTCTTTCTCCCTCACCCTCTCCCCACCCTCTCTGCTGTGTCATCAGTCGTTCATTGCTCAGCCTTGGGCCCTGCTCTGGGTGGAGTGCTGTTATAATGAGGTTTAATCATTGGCAGTAGGTCTGAGTGACCGTCAGGAACAGCAGTGGGAGTTTACCTGTGTCTCTTCAGTCCTCGCTGACTCACTGTTTAATGACAAGAAATGACCTTTATTGCACCATCACGGCCACTACACACGCCCAACAATCACAACACATCATTAACTCTGTCCTAATTGTACAATAGAGTGTCAATCTCAAACTATTGATACTTTGCAGGGACATCATGCTGGGGGTGTACTGAACATTCCACCATTACAGATACATGTAGGAGTTACCATGGTGACGCAATGCATACTTTAGCAAACTTAAACACTTATTTTTTATAATAGTGAGAGATGAGAGACTAACTGAAAAACTGGTTGCTAATACTTTCTAGCTTGGGACTGTCATTATATGTGCGTGAGACTTATTTAAGTGGACAAAGCAGCTCACCTGTTGTAGTTCCAAATAAACCAGCTCTTTCTGGTCAGACTGTGTTAAAATAAAGCCCAAATTAAGTCAGAGTAGTGCTTTCAGTTGGCTTCAGACCCCTAGGGAGTGTTGATGACATCAGCTGTGTTGATTGTATACTACTGATGTCATGATTACTACTACAATGTAAATACTTCACTCTTTTGATTGTAAAGAACCGGCTTACTATATTGTGAATGAAATGGTTACTTTAAATGTGTACAAAAGTGCTACAACAAGTTATATTAACTATAAAAATCATACAATTTAGCAAAACATACTTGAAATTAAATGTATTAATTCTGATACATTTTAGAAATATCAATTTGTTTATTAATAGTAAGAAATGTGCTATATTATATCATATTGTACACTAGTACTGTACATGCACCAGCCATGTATGTAGTATTATATGGAGTGTTGGTGACATGTAATATTTAAAGCAGACCAATTTTGCAAACTCGACCTTTCACAGAGCTTTTAACAGTTTTAGAGTTGCTTCCCCTTGTCATTTACTCACCCAAAGTTATATTGCCAATCAACCTCTGATTTCACTGCCACCAGCGTGTCCTTTGCTCTCTACTTACTTCAGTGCTGTGAAGTCATTTTGCCTGGTGACCAGATGTCCCTATTTACCCGGGAGCCCTGTGTCTCCTGTCCCTGCGCATTTATCCAAAACCCTTGATTTGTCCCAGTTTTATACAAGGTGTACAAGGTGTCCCTATTTTGACCAATTTGACACCTGCCAACAGTAAAGAGAGGAACAGAGGCATAAATTGTCATTCATTGAGGTAAAATGCTAAAAAGCTGCTTAAATATGACCAAAGCACAAAGAAAATGTGGCTATTCTGCCTCACAGGTTAGTCATGAATGGGCCGAGTGCATAACAGTTTTCCTTAATTACGCACTCGTTTCACAATTTTATTATTACCAACCACCTCAAACCCGGGTGTCCCAGTTTTTGATTTTGAAAATCTGGTCACCCTAATTCCGCAACAAAAAAATCTGCTGCTTGCTAGCATGATGTGCTGCTTATCCAGGAGATGTGCCTTCTCTTTGTTGTGATAACGTTTATGGCAACGTCAGCTCCCACTGGGCACCCCATGTTTCTAATGTGGGAACCAGCTGACTTGTTTCTTTTATTAAGTCATTTTAGATGAATGTTGAGCTTTAAAATGTGGAGTATGGAAGGATTTTAAACGAAACTGAGATCTGAACACTCATTCCTGTTTGCATCTTTTGAAGACGATCTATTCTTGGCCTGATATTTAATACATTCTTTAATATTAACATTTAAAACACTGTTTCTCTCCTCTGTCCTTCAGGTTGACTGGGCCATCTGGACACCTCACTGATGGACCTGGGAACTACAAATACAAGACCAAGTGCACCTGGCTCATCGAAGGAGAGTGAGTGTGCCGTCTACTCAGTTTAAACACCACATAAACACTGAATATTGCTATTACTACTAGTACCTACTGCTACTACATTTATTACTCATAATATGGACCCAAGTATGCATACACCCTCATGTAAAAAGGAAAAAGAACCAGAGTAGGTGATATTGATAATAATGAAAGAATATCTACATTTTTGGGAGAATTTTTCAAACAACTATAATCAAATCAGAAAGAAACTAAAATGTGTCTGTAAATATCTGAGTGGCAGTTCAAATATTGCACAAAAGTGAATAGACTGTACTATTACACAAATACGGAACTCCTACCTTCTACCTTTTTGTCAATATTGTTATTAGATAAACTTTATGTAAATTTGGCCTGTAGTCAACTTATCTCTACAGCAAATTCTACTGCTTCTATAACTACAACTACTACTATTACTGCTATTTATCTTTACTTTTATTTGTGAAAGGTAAAGGTGCACTTTTTGATTAGGGGTCCAGCACCTGCATGTTTCTATGGATATGTCATTGCTCTCCCTGGAATGTTCCACAATCCGTGAATTATTTGTTCATTAATTTTTCGATATAAAACCAAAAATAAGAAAATGAAAAAATAACAGTTTTCCTCAATATTTGTCTTCAAGACCAAAATGAAAAAACTGATAATGATTTGTTTTTTCATTTTTTGATTTTGTGTTTAAATGTATACTGTAAAAAATGGATAACGACTGTTTCTCGTTTCCGTGACTTAAACTGCGATGCCGGACTTTTGCCCCGGCCTCTGCACCGGTCTCAGTCCTGGTCTCAATCACGGTCTGATCCCGGCCTCAATCCCAACCTCAGTCACGGTCTCAGTCACGGTCTCAGTCCTGGTCTGGTTCTGGTCTGGTCCTTTTACCTCTTTCAGTCCTGGTTCAGTCCATATGTGGAGCAAAATTCCCATTTCGCAATTTAAGTCACAGAAATTCATTTAAACACAAAATTGAAAACAGAAAAAAAAACAAAAAACTAATTGTTATCTCTTTTTCATTTCGGTTTTAGAGACAAATAATGAAGAAAACTTTTATTTTTTTGGTTTTATATTGGAAAATGAACGAATGATTTTCATGACATGGATTTTCTACAATATGACATTAAACAGCTCTACATTACATTACTTCAATTTACCTGTGGTTTTATAGCTCAGAAGTAGAGCAGAGTCTGTGCCTCTCCACAGATCTGACCTGTAACTTGGTCTGATGTGGTCTCAATGAAGATAGAAAGGTTCAATACCGTATTGTGAAATATTCCAGAAAAGCAATAACATCTCCATGGAAAAAATACATCTAAATGCAAATTTCGCTATGGGGAAATTTCTGTTTAGTTTAGTATAAGAAAAGTGATATCGAGATTAGACAAGGTAATTAAAAACATTAAAACTGCAATATCACCATATACATTAATTAATAACCAAAAACGTATTATTAAGAAGAAGTAGTCCTCTCATATATCAGCTGTATTGGCATTGCATTGGCCTTAACCTGAAATGGGAGGAAGTGTCAGAAGCAGTATTAATGGGGCCTGCAGTTGGTCCTATAACTGTGACTGGGCCTCTGTGAAGTGCCTGGATGTTGATGAATGGATGTAAAAGCCAAAGTAAGTGAGAAATCCAATACTGCCCTGTACTTCTGTTGTAGTCAGCAGCAGCATCGTCGCTCCAGCAAATTATTGATTTGAGTGTTTGAAATTTGAGCAGTTCTCTTAAAGTAGACTGGACTTTTTTTCTTTTTTTTTTTAACAAATCATAGAGATGGAAGTCAAATTTTGATATGGCGTAATGATGAGGGTCGATCTGACATCAGCTTGTTTCAGGTTATTGCTTTGCCTGGGATGTTCCAGAGTGTAGCATTAAGTATGGTAAATGAATAAATACAGAATATTTTTTTCTTATTTATTGCTTAAACATGCTTTATTATTATTGCTGTGAACTAGCCTGCTTCTTCATAGACCTGACCTGTAACTTGACCTTGTGATGTGACTTCCTTGTCTCCATGGAGATTAAACTGTAGGACATTTCGGGGGAAAACATTAACATCTACATGGAATAAAACAGGTGGCGGACCCTCTACCAGAAAAGTTACACAGTGCAAGAGTAGAACTGTACTGATAACAATAAATAGAAGATAATATTGAAGATATTTAATGCCACTGACACAGTAACCCAGAAAAATCCCAGTGAACCAAAGAAAAGTTGGTATTAAATCTTAGATATATTAAAGGTGCACTATGTAACTTTTCTGTGAGAGTCCACTTGTTATTGTCCACTTGTACTTGTTATTGCGTTACTTGAAATGTTCCACAGTATGGTATTTAACTTGCCTATCTCTGTGGAGTAGGTTACACCATTAAGTTACAGGTCAGATCTGTGGAGAGCTGATGCCCCCTCCCCTGTCAATAATAATGCATGTTTTATTGTATTATTTTTTTTAGAAATCACCTCTAATTGAATAAGTGCAAGATGGATAACTTTAATCCCAAACCACAGAACCGTACAGACAAAGCAATGGCATCTCCATGGAGACAAGCAGGTGGCCGACCCTCAATCAGAAAAGTTACTTAGTGAACCTTTAACATGACTATGACTTCTATGACTAAATAACAGTGTATTTCCCTAGTGCAAATACAGTGGACTCACAATATTAAATTAAAATTGCTGCAGTAATGATGGTATTAACAATGTGGACTTGACCTTTACATGAATAACATCGTTTTTAATCACATTTTTTTACACCACGAGGCCAGGGGCTGTTATGTTTTTTTTTTTACAGCAACAGTAGCCTACGTTGTTGATAAAAAGGCATTTTGTTGTCTTGTGTGTGATGAATTTTACTACCGTTTAATTTGTAATAAATTCATATCATTTTAAAGTAATCTGGCAAATCTAAAACCAGATAAAAGACATATCACTAGTCACATGTCTCTTGCTGAGCTGATGTGAAGCTCCAGTCTTAACTGTCACTGTAGTCTGTAAATCAAATACATGAATAAATGCATCTATTCACAGTGCTTCCTGTACATGAGCTTCTCTCTAAATAGAAAGTCTTTCACATTTCATTCAAGCGATTCTAATTCAATACACCGCCGGCAATCTCTTAAATTCTTATCTGTTTGAATTCAATTTGAAATGGAATGACAGTTCTTATCATGGGCGTCAGACTGGAAGAGGAGGGGTACTGTTTACCCAGGGACCCATGCAAAAAGGGGCCCCATTTAAAAAAAAATTAAAAATAAAAATAATAATAATAATAATTAGACAACGTGTAGTCTGGGTCCGCCAAGATGATTTGTACCCAGAGCCCAAAATTTGTGCTACACACCTGGATCTTAGGTTTGTGGTAACATAAGTGAAGGAAGTTGCATTATTTACCATATTTTTCCTTTTGTTTTTCTTATTTTATTTCTTTGTAAAAGAACAGCACGTATTAATTAAATATGTAAAGATTATAGCCAATGTGGCTAGTTTCCATCTTCAGTCCCTCGGCAGGTTAATGTCAAATAATCTACAGCACAGGGAAAAGTACAGCAAGAATCACACAAAAATGCATGCAGCACCAGCACTATCACTATACATACAATTCATTTGAAGGTACAAGTCAAATGTTAAAATTTACATTTTTTGGGAGGGCCAGAAGGCTTTATGGGGCCTAATTAGATTGTGAATTTGGGAAAAAAGAGGTAGAGATAATTGGCAAACAGGTCATGGATTGAAGTTTGAATCTTTGATATTAAGATAGTAACAACCACATTTGAGCTGTGCCCTACCGGCAGTACTATAGTACACAAGTAGTATTCCTGCTTCACAATCCTGAAGAAAGTCTTGGTCAGTTTAAAGACACAATTGATTTGCAGAAGCTTTTAAAACTTTTCACTATCTATGATGTGACCACGTATCTTACCCACACTGCTCTGACAAGCCTTGCTGGGAGTCCATGCGAAACAATATTATTTACAGAAAAGTGCTGGGAAAGTGTGTGTGTCTGTATTTGAGTAAAAAGGCAGATTAAAGTCATGATTCAGACCTAGTGTACTGACCAGGCCTGTCAACAGAAATTTGGGGGCCTGTTGAAAGAAGCCTCACATGGGGCCCCCTACTGTAAATGAACAGAAAGAGGGTCCACATCTGAGCCCCTAAGACTCTGGGGCCCAAGACAACAGACCCCCTGATATTAACATTGTTTTTATTAATTTGTAATGTTAGACTTGTTCAGCATTTTTTTCAGTTTTATTTAATAAATCAGAAAGTTTAAATAAATGCTGCCTTAAAACAATAAATCAAATTGTGTAGAGATCTAATATACAGGTTTAAAATGACATGATTGAAATCATTTTAGAGACTTAACAATTTTGTCATTTACAATTCACTTTGATTTGATGTAAATATTTAGCCCCACAGCAAACATAAGACTGTCAGGAAAGGTCGACTGTCACGACACTGTTCATATCTACAATAAACAAACAAATTGCGTTGTAAACCACTAAACTGAGTCCAAGGAACAGAAAAATACAGCTGGTTAAAGGTGGCGAGTGTTTTGTTAATTATTCACCTCACACTGTTTAAACCAGGGCTGTTCTCTAAAGAGGAGCTGCAGTTTGCTCTGAGCTTGTTCATAAGTAGGAGGTGTGAGTTTGGCTGGACTAATTCAGACTGAGGGACATAGAGTGGCCACTGTTTTAAAAGTGAAGATCTAATAGTGAAAGTAGGTCACTTATCAAACGGCTTACTCTGCTGCTCTGGTGTTATGGCACTGTAAACATCAATACAGCTGTGAAAATGGACTTTTTAGAGTCTAGCAAGGATCAGGGCCTATTGATGCCATAAAAATGCTTAGATTTCTAATTTTTTGGGTGGGGCTCTGTCACCTGCTTCTTCCTATGAACATGACATTGCTCTGCCAGGAATCTTCCACAATATGACATTAAACTGCTCTACCTTACATTTTTTGATTACAGGTGGTGTTTTATAGCTCAAAAATACTGACTGTGAGCAGGGGTTGCCTCTCCACAGATATGACATGTAACTTGGTCTAGTTTGATCTCCATGAAGATAGAAAGGCTTAAACCATACTGTGAAACATTCCAGACAAAGCAATAACATGTCCATGGGGGAAAGCATCTGATGGGCCCTCCACCAGAAAAGTTACACATTGCACCTTTAAATCAGAATAAGCTACAATCAAAACATGTAGCAAAACAATAACATGAAAACCTTTGTCCATGGTTGCAGGTTTTTTTCTTTTTAATAGTAAAATGTTCTCAAATGCCCAAGAAAAATTACATTAAGTACTTCATTCTACTGAGTCCAGGATTCTGGTATTCTCAATATAATGGGAGTACTAAAAATGGTAAAAAGAATATAAGAAGGAAAATGTAGTCATTTCAGTTTTCAAATTTCATAAAGCTGGCCATTTGAGGAGCAGTGGGAATACCTGATATTGTGACATCCCTTATTACAGAATTAATTTATTTTCAGCTGAAACAAATACATTCTAACCTTTCTGGAAAGAAAAAATATTGTATTATTCTTATCGTAGGACAGAATTTTTTAAAACAATTCTGCCATAATGCCACTGAGCAAAAATCAAGATCAATTTTACAAGCTCAAACTTGAGTGGATGTTAAAAGCATTGTATTGACTTGACTACATGAACTCATAGGACTCTTAAAGCAAGGATAACAATAATAATAGCTTTTCTGCTCCTCCTAACTACAGTGCATTTTTTCAGCATTTAGTGAGTAGAATTTGTCATTCTAAAATGATGAAGAATAATTATTTTTACTTTTCTACATTTTCACATGGCTCCAAAGTTTAATATGATACTGATGTTAGTTTGTAGAGTGGTCAGTAATACACTTTAGATCAATAGTCCATAGTTGTGTACCAGGTTTATTTGCCAGGTTTAACCAATGCTGTGGTTCGAGAGTGCTGAGTGGGTGGGTTTAGTTTTGATGTCCTGTTTTTAGTGATTCTTGTCAACATTATGGTGGCATTGAGAGTTGAATGCTGTTAAAATTAGACATTTTATGACTTTGTTATCAGTTTTTTTGTTAAGCTATTTGATGGCTTCTTAAAAGGAAATTATAACCAAATTTATTTCAGATATAATACTTACCTTGTTTCTCCAACTGTCCTGGACTTATAATGCTCTTATGTGGATTCATATAACTGTTGTTGTGTAAATGAACCTCAGACAGATGCAGATGTCTTGATTTCACTGTTCTTGTGTTTTCAGACCAAACACTATCATTCGACTGCGGTTTAACCATTTTGCCACAGAGTGCAGCTGGGACCACCTGTACGTGTACGACGGAGACTCCATCTATGCCCCCCTGCTGGCTGCATTTAGGTAAACACTGGTGGAATGGTCATTATTTTACAGAAATCTGGTTTAGTAGTTCTATTTGTTTAGTTCTTTGCAGTTTCCTTAGTTTCATATTGTCTGATTTTGACATTTTCCTAAATTGTCCACACAGCAATTGTCCAATTTGATGATCTAAGGTTAAATTAAATATAAATGTGCTTCCACTAATGCTGAAACAAACAGGATTTATGTCTTAAGGTTAAAAAACAAAAAAGACTTCCCACACATGAGTCATTATCACATCTTTCCACTCCACAAAAAATAATCATTCCTTTATCGATTGTTAACTTAATCTTTATTTGTATAGTCCTTTTTCATACAGATTAAAATGCAGCAAAATTAACAAACAACCTACATTGTCCCTCCATAATGAATAGATTTGCTGAAGACTAATGGCTAATGTGCTGGCTGTATAATATGTATATCCATGGGCTTCAGAATGATGGAAAATTAGGAGTCTTGCCATAGCGATAAGCAATTTAAAATAAAATTTTATATGTTTGTAAGTCCTAAAATTTTTGGATTTAACAGGAAGCTAAAACCCATGAATATCCACCGATTATCTACAATCTACACTCACACACACTTCAGAGTCACTATTCCCAGGTCCCTTGTCCAGCAGTCTGTGTTTAACAGGCTGTCTGTGTTTGCAGTGGTCTGATTGTCCCAGAGCGTTATGGGAATGAGACAGTTCCAGAGGTGGTGTCTCAGTCTGGATTTGCCCTCCTGCACTTCTTCAGCGACGCAGCCTACAACCTCACAGGATTCAACATCTCATACAGGTATGACACACTTTAAAATGACTTAAGATGTGAGCAATTTTCTTATCACAGCCCACACTGGTCAAGGTTAAACCAATGATAGTACTGTAGAAAAAAGGTTGGCTTATCAAGTATGTTTTGAGGGGATTTTTGTCAACATTACAGTGACATAATGCATTCTGCCTGTCCATATGTTTTTTTTTAAACCCTGCTAGAAATCATAATTTTATGACTTGCATAAGGGGTAGTTATTATAATATGGTACCAGATATGGTAGGTAGATGCATTATATTAACATTATTATAATTGTTTTTACCCTAAAACCTATCTAAAAAAAAAAAAAAAAGGGAGTTTCTGTCAATTGGACAACCTTATGGACCCTAACATTTGAGAATGTGAAAGTCTTCATTGCTGTGTCAAACTGTACTGCCAATATTCTGGGTAACAATCATGGCCTTTGTCAGTGAAATATCCATTCTGATAAGTGGATTTTTTGCATGTCTAATCCTGATATCCACTCCTCTGTGCCCATGATTTGTGTCTGTCGAGTCGTATTTTTGGCGGCGGCCCACTTCACACCGCTCTCTGGGACCTGATGACGCAGAGAAAACCTCTCACTCTCAGATCATCAGCCTCTGCCTGACACAGCTATGCAGATGTTGCAGATCACTCATGTTAGAATGCAAACGCCTTTATTACTGTACAGAAGAGCATAGGAAATGGAGATGGACATATTTCAGTTTTATAATTTGGAAAAATAATTAGATTTTGTCACATAAAATAATTTTCCCTAATAATTTACTCCAGTATTTACATGCACTTGATGTTTGAACATTGTCTTCAACCATGGTTTCTAAATAGTAGGCAACAGTGAGTCACACATTTAGGTTTGTTGTAGGAAGCATTTTTAAAGGTCCTATATTATCCCAAACTGACTTGCAAAATTGATTGTAAAAGTGAGCTTTAAGCCATGTTGAAATCTTATTGCCTCATCAAAAACATACCTGGAGTTTTGTTTTTCGTTCACAGATGCTCAAATAACCCTTTATTATTAGTCTGTCTACATCTCTAAAGCTCAAAATGCTTTGTTTCATCTTGTGATGTCATGAAGGAGTAGTTTTAGTTAACCTTTTACATTTTGTTAAGTAGAAATTGGCAGTTCCAGGGGCTGAAATTATAGAAATGATTCTAGTGAAAGTGTTGACTTTAAAAACACAGTGGAGAACTATAATGACATCACAAGGTGGAGTGTTGTCCATGTGAGAGAAGAACTCAGCCTAAATATGCAGGGTTTGTGTTAAACATGTGTGTGTGAATGAAACAAAACACAACTCCAGGTATGTTTTTGATGAAGAAATCACATTATAATAAGAATATGGCTTAATATTGGCCCTTTAAGCATATTACAAATGTGAAAAGGGAATTTTAAAAGGTTCAATTATGTTGCTAAAAACATAAAAGGTAACAGCACTGGAGACATCTGCAGGCAATTCATTTTTTAACCAGTTCTGAGGTGAATGGGGTGCTCGGAGTCTTGGGTTCGGTTTCCATGGAGATTACGTAATTGCAATCACTTTAATTATTACTGACTTCCACAATGGCGACTTACTGGGATAAAAAAGATTTGCAAGAGAAAAAAAGAACAAGTTGGAAAGACCTGAAACTTCCTTTTCTCATGACTTTTTTCTGAATGCCAAAAGTGCAGCTCGTCCTTGGCAAACATCTGCAGAGGCCACAATAGACTGCGCTCCGTCGCTGGGTTTTCGGTCCCGTTGTCATAGTAACAGGTTTGAAGTTGGGCCGAGAAAAGGCGCAGTGAAATAAAGGAGGGTACCCCGGGTCGCTGTCTTTGGTCTGCCAGCATCAAAACACTCTCCACGGCAACAAAAAGGGGGACCATGGGCTTTGTAGAGAGACACACACACCAGACTGAGTGGGTTAGAATAGTGCTATGTGCTATATTTGTATTGTCAACTGATTGTCTTCATTGATAAATAATGGGCTTTGATTGGCTTGATTTAACAAAAGATATGCTGCCCTTTATAGTGGTTGGTTCAAGGAATAATAATTTAAACTATAAAAACACAGACTCTTTATTTATTTATTTTATTAAGGACAATAGAGTAAAACATTGAAGGTGCATTGTGTAAGTATTCAGGTAGAGGGTCCTTCAAATGCTTTTCTCCATGGAGATGTTATTGCTTTATCTAGAATGTTTCACAGTATGGTATTAAACCTTTTTATCTTTAAGAAGACCAAGCCAGATCAAGTTAAAGGTCAGATCTGTGGAGAGGCAACCCTGCTCACAGTCAGAATGCCTGTTTTTTCTAGGTATTTTAGAGCTATAAAACCACCTGTAATTTCATCAATGTAAAGTAGAGCTGTTTCATCTCATACTGTGGAACATTTTTAGCAGAGCAGTGAACATATCCATCGAAATAAGCAGGTGACAGACCCCCAACCAAAAAGTTACATAGAGCAGTTTTTAAACAATATAATAAAAACATGAAAACAAGACACGAAAGCATAAAATGACAAAGCTCACAAACCCCTAACCCACCCCTTTCCCCCAAACACACAAAAATATAAACATGTCATAAGAAAGATGACATAAAAAAAACCAAAAGCAAATACAGTAAGAAAATTAATAATAAAAAAACAAACAAACAACAAATTAGTGGCTTTTATCTCTATACAATCTCTATCAGTCAGTGCTATTCATATATTTTCAGCTGGTTGCTTCAGGTGACTAAAAATAGACCAACAGTGGTGGATTCTAATATGATTTTTTCAGACAGAGCTAAAAAACTGAGAGGGAGGGTTATATGGGACTATGTTATTTACGTAAACATATGCCCTTCTGCTTTTCTCTGTAGTTTTTGTCTGTTGTTGGTTCAATTCAACAAAACACTGGTTGTATTGGTGGATAATGTTGATGTATAAAATAAGTTTCATCAAATGAAATGTAGGCTCCATTAGTTACATTACAACATTTTATGCAATTGAACAACAATTGAAAATGAAAAAAATAAAATAAAAAATGCAGACGTTTCTTTTAGCACAACCCCAATAAATCTACATAATTATTATTTGGTTATTTCTCTGCCTGTGTTGTGTGTTGGCTGGTGCAGAGCTCGTACAGGCACTTGTCGAGATCTCCACAGACCACTTTACTGTGACAGCTTTAGGCTCCAGGCTCAGACACCAGAGGAGCAGATGGGCCTCTCTCCAAAACACACACACCTGATGCACACACTGTCCCAACAGGTCACTCTATGTACTCATGTCTACAAAGCTGAGCCTGCAAGTATTCCTGGAAAAATCTGTTTATTTGCAGTTGGTCCTCTACCAGAAAAGTTACACAGTGCACCATTTTAAATTGTGTTAAAAATTAATGTGCGTTCTTAAAACCTGAAGTATGTGAACACCTAATACCATACATCTTTTTAAAAGTGTTCAGTCCCAGCAAAGCATTTTGATTCATGGTTCTGAAAGTGAGTAAATGAGCTAAAAGACAAAAGGCTCTTGGCATTATGGAACACTGGATTACGTTGTATTGTGTGATATGATTGGATATTTTTTGTGTTAGCTGTGATGAATTATATTATTCCTTTTTAAGACATGTGCTGTTGATGAAAATGTGGTGTTTAAGGTGCACTATAACTTTTTGGTTGGGCATTCGTCACCTGCTTGATTCTACGGATATGTCATTGCTCTGTCTGGAATATTCCACAGTATGACTTTAAACAACTCTACCTTATATTTATTCAATTATAGGTGGTTTTATAGCTCAAAATACCTTGAAAAACAGACATTCTGTGAGCAGTGCTGTCCCCTCCATACATAACTTTTGGTCTCCATGAAGATAAAAAGGATTTAATGCCTTACTGTGAAGCATTCCAGACAAAGCAATAACATCTCTGTGGAGAAAACCATTTGACGGACCCTCAATCAGAAAAGTTACACAACGCACCTTTTAAACATTAAGCCTAACCCAATCAGCTTTTATAACTAAACACTAAACTATATATCTTTGTTTTGTCCTGTCAGGGTGAACACCTGCCCCAATAACTGCTCGGGACATGGAGAGTGCCGCTTAGCGAATTCGACAGGTGCAGTGATTTGTGAATGCGAAGACAACTGGAAGGGAGAGGCCTGTGATGTCCCGTACTGTGAAGCCAACTGTGGGTACCCTGATCGAGGGCACTGCCTGGGCAAGAACTGTATCTGCAACACCGGGTGGCAAGGTATATGGACTTAGAGACAATGGCCAAATCGAAGTATTCATGGGTTTTAGAATGTTGAGAAAATCAGGTCTGTTGCCATAGCGATAAGCAATTTAAAACTAAATATTACATATTCTGAATAGGAACAAGTTGTCTAATTGTTGATTTTAATGGATTAAAAGCCTTTGATGCCATCATTACTGTCATGAGGATTCAGATTTTAAGTGTTTGATAACTTAATTTCTTCATCTTGGCTGCACTTACCTGGAGGAAAGGATCATGGTATTTGTAGTTCCCTCTGCTTTTAAGATGCCGCTGCAACTAAACAATGCTTTTTGCCAATTAACTAATTTGCCCATGATATTGTTGACTCGTGGACATCTATACCTTTTTAAATAACTTTTTAAAAATCCATAATTCAGTTCTGTGCAATCAATGGAATTTGTCTGAAGATTGAAGTTAAGTCTTTGTTTACCACCTAAAAACCCACCCAAGGCTTTTGCATAGTTCTGTATATGGGTGTATTGTCTCATTGTAGCTGGCAGCGTGAAGCAGGTCTGCACATGCCAAATCTGAGCTGGGACTGTGGCTCTGCTCCCAAGAAGGATAATCCCCTCTGACGCTCGCCAATTTCATGAGCTGAATCTCAAATTAAAGTTTCATTATTTATTCATTCTGATTTTTGTTGTTGTAGGAAGTTTGATAAGTGGATTGGAGCTTCAATAATTTATGCACTAGGAGAGAATGTTTAAGCAATTTCTGGAAATATGTTGACAATCTTAAATTTTTAACTTGCTGTGATTGCATTGGATTATTTTTATTATTATATCAGAGCGGACAAAGCTATTCTTCACACCTGCAGACATAGCAGCTAGTTTGTGTAAAGGCTAGAGGGTTCAAAAATACTCTGTGCTGTACTTCACATAGTCTAAGAGAAAGTGAAACATTTTACATAGAGCTGTGAAAAGACTCCATCAGCAAAAGTCAGTCCTGTATCCTCACAAAATTGTTTTCTATGGCTTTATGACACATGTTGTATTCAGTGTGACCCGATTTGCATTTTACTACGCTAAATAAAATTAAACATGTAATCTGAAGTTTCATTTCAATCATAAAACCTTCAAAGTATGTTGTGCAATATGGTGATAAAAATATAAATGTGGTTTCATTCCTGTGATAATATTATATTTTGGTGAAACTGTCAGATTGTGATTCATTAATTTACTGTTTAATGCAGCTCTCTGCTTTATTGATACTTGGCAGTGACATCACCCTGGAGGTGTTCTACATGTATGTATAGGGCAGCATATTCAGCAATTACCTCGGTGCACACATTAGCAAACACTGCCACAAAATTTTTTAAGATGATCTGAAAACTCAAGAATAAATCCAAAATGGATTTAAACAACACACATACGAGAGTTTATGGCCCTGTTTAGGTGTTTGATTGTCAACAAAAATATAGAGACTAACTGAAAATCTTTAGGCTCATGCTTACAAGCTTGTGACTGTAATTTTATGTGACTTTTATGAGACTTGTTTAACAGTAAAAATCATCTCACTTGTTGTAAATCCAACTACATAAGTGTTAAGCTAAAAATGTTGTTAAAATAAAGCAGATTAAAGTCTAACCAAGCCACAGACAGAGCATGCTTATAGTTAGCATCACACCCTCGGAGAATGTTGATGACGTCAGCTGCAGTATATCAATAAACATTTTTCCCATGCCTCCTATTGTGGCATTGTGTAAGGCTCAGACTGAGTGGCAGCTACATTTAACAAAGTGAGGACTTTTGAAGAAACAAATGACTTCATTCACCTCCAAGCATTATAAAGATACTGAGAATACATGCATTGTAATAAAACCAATATAGTGACTCCAAGAAAATTGTGATAATTTTTTTTATGGCATATCGCCTACCCCAACTTCAAAGCTTGCAGTAGTCAGTAGACATTTCTTAACAGTGCCTTTTTGTTTGTTTTGTGATTACTGGTTTATTTATTCAAGTTGCACTGTGTAAACGTTTTGGTCAGGGGCCGTCAGATGATTTTCTCCATGGAGATGTTATTGCTCTGCCTGGAATCTCATGGAGACCAAACTAAGCCAAGTTACAGGTCAGATCTGTGGAGAGCAACCCCACTCATCATCTGAATGCTCATTTTTATAGGTATTTTTGAGCTATAAAACCACTTGTAATTGAATAAAGGGAAGGTAGAACTGTTTAATGTCATACTGTGAAACATTTCGGGCAGAGCAATGACATCCCCACGGAGAAAAGCATTTAATGGACCCTCCACCAGAAAGGTTACATAGTGCACCTTTAAGTGACATGAAATGAAGATACTTTTAAAACCATATTCATAGGTTTCATCTTCCTGTTATATGCTGGAACTTGCTTCGGCAGTACAGTGCAACATAAAATAATGATGATTTTATTTTGAATTGTTAATTGCTATGGAAACTTTTCATCACTCGGAAAACCCATGGAAAAATCCAACTTCCTCAAACCCCACACAGATCAGATGATTAAAAAAGTACAAATACAAAAAGCAACTCCAAACCCAGTGTTTTTAGTGAAGCCTGTTTACTAGAGTTACGAAGTCTTATATTCTATGTCCACATTTTACTCATGATTCAACTTGTCTGCAGCTGCCCACACAACTTCTGCTCTCACCATTTTGACTTTTACAGAGACACTCACACTAGAACTTGTTTCAGTCATGAGTATGGACTGTTTTAATTCACGAATGTGCAGCCAGTGCCCTTGCCGTCTCTCTCAATGGGCTCATATGGCCGCTCTTAATAGCTTTATTAGTCTTGCACCACTTCACACAGAGTCACACTTTTATAGCGTGCCCACCGCATAATTATCAAAGGCCAAGAGAGTTGGATACAACTAAGTGCACTCTTTATTAGCTTCTCTTAGTCAAGGAGGAATAGACTTGAGAGCACTATAGTTGCCTACTCTGTCCTCGGTATAAACTTTTAACAAATGGAGTTCACCACTGACCGTCCACTCCATCTCCGGATTTTCCATTCATTTTTCTCATTGATTTTCTGGAAAAAATAAAAATAAAATAAAATTTAAAAAATAATAATTATCACTTTTTTTTTTTTTAAAGTTAGAAAGCTTGCCTAGGGATACTCCTCTACATGATATCTAATGACCCCCCATAATTTTATTTGAAATCTGTTTCTAAAACTTTATAAACCATGAAGTTAATATGTTATATTACATTTCACAGAATTGTGCATTTTAAACAGCCTTTTGGACTTAAAACAGCTGCATTATGGATCTTAGTTTGCATATAGCTGCTTAGCCTTCGTGATGCTTTTTGAAATTTTAATATTAGAATTTTTTAAAAAGTCTATGGGAAAAAAAATAATGGACTAGCCATTGCTGAGCTCCATAAATTTGGCTGTTAGGTCAAACTATTGAGCAAATATGAGTAGTTCTGTAGATTTAGACTTATTTTTATTCAAATTAAAAATATTAACTACTTGCATATGAATGGCTGTTGTGTGTATATTTTTTTGCAATAAATTCAATAATAAAAGAAGTTATTATTGCACTGGTCTGATAAAATGAAAACTTACTTGAAAATATTAGCAATATGGCAATACGTCAGAAATGTTATCTGAAATTCCTTATGTATTTTTTTCAAAAATGTGCTAAACTTTGTAAAGGTCTTGCATTGAGATTCAAGCAGAGCACAAAAATGTACTGCAAAAAAACACATATCACTTTAGACCCTTTATGATACCCTATCATTTCTACTATACCTGACATTAGGCCTCTGAAATGAATCAAATTTAAGTGAGATTATGATTCTGTTATTTCAAATTGTCAGTTTTTTTATTACCTCCGCCAAGGAGGTTATGTTTTTGCCGGCGTTTGTCTGTTTGTTTGTCTGTTTGTTTGTTTGTCTGTTAGCAACATAACTCAAAAAGTTATGGACCGATTTTGATGAAATTTTCAGGATTTGTTGGAAATGTGAAAAGGAAGAACTGATTTAATTTTGGGGGTGATCCGGAAGAAATCCTGGATTCTGGATCACTTTGAAATTTTAGTTAACATTGTGGTAAATGGGGCCAAAAATTTTGTTTCTCAATATCTCGGTCAATTATTGACCAAACCCCATGAAATTTGACTCAGGGATGGACAATGGGATCCTCTTTCATATTCCAAAGGCTGATCCGGATCTGATCCAGAAGACTGATTTTATCACAATTTATATAAAAAATGGGGGTAGTCCTTGGCATGAGGTCTGCGCTCTCTGAGTGCTTTTCTAGCTTTTAATTGGAAGGTCTGTAGCAGGTTCTCTGTCAACATGTGGTTTGGAGCAGTTTGGAGCCTGCATTGTTCATATTTTGGAAATTAAATTTGAAAACCCATTGTTATTTGTTTTATTGCGGTCAAAAACAATGGAATCAAAAATTGGCATACCTCCCAGTCCTACCCAAACTCAAATATATCGTCACAACAACAATTGTAACATTATAAATTGTCCCCTTCTCTCCTTACATTTGGCACGTCCAAGATTGGTACAGGCCCAAAAGGAAAATGGCTGCACTGACCTTGATTGTTTCAGTGGCTCACAGCACTTCCTTTGTGTTACTACTCTGTTTTGTGTACAGTTCAAGTTAATGGGAAACCCCCAACTGCTACTTCTTGTTTTGGAGATGTGAAGATGGTGTTAATTAGCTGCTAAGTGATTCATCCAATATAAGACAAAACGCTCTGTCTCTAAATATCCATGGGTTTCAAAGTGATGAAAAATTAACACTAGCAATTAACAGTTCATTACATATTGTTGGAACTGTAAAAGGTCCTCAAAATGTTGCATAAAAACAGGAAGCCAATACTCAAAAATAGTTTGTTCCAATTTAGTCTGTTTTTTCCCACACTTACAGGAATTTTTGGACTATTCTGTGTAACTGTAATTGTACTCTGTTTACTTTGGATTTATTGTTTGAGTTTAATTACAAGAGGAAAGCAGATAAGTGTTCCTCCATGAATAAGTGAGGAGTTTTCTGGAAGTCTTAAAATGTCTACACTATAAATTTAACTTGTATTGACACTGACATACCTTGATTGTGTAATTTTTTTAAAGGTACAATGTGTAACTTTTCTGGGGTAAGGCCTGCCACTTGTCTCATGGAGATGGCCTATAGTTGTAGCTTTTCCCAGAATGTTTCACAGTGTGGCATTAAAGTCATCTGTCTGTTGCATCGTTTCAATTAAAGGTGTTTTTATTGCTCAGAAATACTTTGAAAAGCCTGCATCTGTACGGTGAGTGGGTCTCAATTTGGTCTCAATGCAGATAGAAAGGTTCAATACCATACTGTGAAACACTCGAGACAAAGCAATAACATCTCCATGGAGAAAATCATTTGATGAAACCTCCACCAGAAAAGATGCACAACACACCTTTTAATGTGTACTTTTCCAAGCAGTGCAATGCCTCGACAAAACTAAATATTCTTGATAATCTTGAATCCTATATCTTTCTATCTCATGATCTTCCAGGTCCAGATTGCTCAGTGTCTGTCCCGGCCAATGCATCTTTTTGGACCAGAGAGGAGTACTTGGACCCCGGGTTGAGCAGGGCCTCCCATAAGGCTGTGGTGGATCAGGGGATCATGTGGGTTATTGGAGGATACGTCTTTAATGCGACGGACTACCACATGGTCAAAGCGTGAGTTTCTGAAGTTCATTTTGTGTATTAACACATTTTTGTAATAAGGCATTACATTATGACAAACTAAACAGAAATGATAACCATCACAGGGCCATTTATTTCACAGGGTAAATTAGGCTGTCCTCTAGTAGTAGTACTGCCACAATACTTGGGCTTTGAATCACAGGGTCCCTTACGATTTCATACAATAAACGTGATATTTGACTTACAATACAATATTATCATGATATGGAGATAGAGGTGATACTCGATAAACTGCACATGGTATATTGCTGTTTTTAAAGAGCCAAATACATTTTAGCTACAATATGTCTTTGTTAAACCATCACTTGTGCAGAGTTAATATGAAATCAATCTATTTTAATCATCAAAACGTGAATGTGTCAAGTGTATTTGCATAAACAAGTTTCCTTCCACTAAATAAGCAACAAAATTTATGTTGTCATATATCGATATTTCAAAATTTTTGCACACTCCTCCACAATTCTAAAATATTAACCTTGATTTTGGTATCATAGGAGAATGCTCAATACCAGTTACAAAGCCACAACAAAGATGACACCAACTTTTTATACAATAGAATTGAGTGTTCGTGACAAAATGACCCAATTTATTTTGTACTAGGTCTGATGTAGATGAACATTATAACATATTCAAATGCTCTTGTCATGATGGTATTTTCATCACTCTCGATACTTATTCAAATGAGTATCTAGTTTTGATACTTGTTAAATATCGACTAATATCTGGATATGTTTTGCTAAAAAGCACGTCTTTGAAGATAATCCATTGGACAAGCTGTATAGTTCAGACAGTGACTCAGATAAGATTGTATGATGAGAATGCAGCATGTTAGGATAGTTAGAATGTTATGCTTGATTTGTTTCACATGCTCTTATAAAACATATTGCATCTTTTGAAGGATAGCGCTTTTTTGAGCTGGAAACTTTCTGTCACTGAAGTGTTATCCAGATATTGGGTCTCCTTGTAAGCATTAATTTGGGTCTCCAACTCTTTGACTTTCTTCTGGAGAGAAGTTTGAGTTTTTGTATCTCCAATTTGTCAGTTTTATTCCTGACTTCTTTGGAGTTTGAAAGCTCTTGTTTCGGCTGCACATTTTCCTGTACTGTGGAGTTGTACAGGTACCGGATCGCCTTATGTGCATTAATCTGGTCTTGCAGTTTTTTGTCTTTCTTCTGGAGAGAATCATTCAGTGTTTTTCAACTCCAAGTCTTTTTCTTGGTCGATTCTCTGCTGAGACCTAAGCTTGAGGTCCAAAGAATTGCTTATTTGGACCAGATCTACAAGTTTGGCCCCTTGCTACCACCAACCCTTCACGGAACGCCCTGAGCAGAACCCTCTCCTCTAGAGGTGGAAGGTCCTGGACCAGGGGTGGAAGTGGACACCTATGGGAGCGCAGACAACAACGTTTAGCATAGGCAAACGAATTTCGAAACAATGATGGAGAACAATGAGACAAGCCAAAAATTTAATTGGCACAGGAAGTGAGCCATATTGGATCTAAAATTCACCGTTGCTTTGACTGTGTGTGTGTGTGTGTGTGTGTGTGTGTGTGTGTAAAACGCATCTTGTCCCTGGTTTTTGGTCCATATAAGCTTAGACCTGGCCTGTCACATCTAGACACATGCTTTATCCGTGATGCATGTATTATAGTTTTTTTGGTCAGTTGAACAACCAAATTTTTGTAAGATCAAAGAAATAACTCAACTTTCTACATCTGATAAAATGTAGAGGAGAACTTTCTCAGACAGCCCCGCACAAAGTCAACTGTATAATTAAAGTCTAAAATGACAGACTGAGCGTCTCCTCCCAGAATCTTCCTCTCACTCCTGGTGTTTATGAAGCGGCTCACAGTTCAAGGCTTAGATATTTTCATCCGAATTCACTGCACATACGTGGCGGTAGAAAGTACTTTAATTTACCAAGGGCAACTAAATATTTAAACATCTTCTTTCTTTGCATACTAAATAGATACTTTTGGTGCATGGTAAAATAGCCTCCAGTACTGTAAATATGATATAAAGGTTCAGTTCTTCATTTTCAGTTTCAAGATTGTTCTTTAATGTTTAAGCACTTACATGTTTGAATAAAATCAAAGTATAGTATATTTCTTAAAATGAATGAACCCTAGTAAAAGCATATTGAGCTTTTTTATGTAAAACCCTGGTTATCCTGCCTATTGGATACCTGGTCATACATATTAATACTAAGCCAAATTTTATCTTGAATGTTTAAAGGTCCTATATTATGCAGAATTGACTCTTGTGAGCTTTTAGCCGTGCTGTAATGTTACCTCCTCAAAAACATACCTGGAGTTGTGTTTAGTTTCATTGACACATGTTTTGAGTAATCCTTTATTATTAATCTCTTTACATCTCCAAAGCTCAAAATGCTCTGTTCCACCTTGTGATGTCACTTACGGGTAGTTTTCAGGTTATACATTTTGTTTAGCAAAGACTGGCAATTCCAGGGCTGAAATTATCCAAAAACTTCTAGTGAAGCTATATGGAGTTTAAAAGCAGAGTGGAGCACTTTCTGTATTGCCACATGACATCACAAGGTGGAACAGAGTGTTTTTTTGTGCTTTTGAGAAGAACTCAACCTTAATATGCAGGATTTGTGGGTTAAAAACACAACTCCAGATATGTTTTTGATGGGGAAACATTGTAACAGATCAGAAAATAGTGTAATGTGGGCCCTTTTTAAAGTACTGTCTAAAAAGTCCTACATTGTAACAGAATGAAAAGTAGCTGTGTTCATTCTTCAAATTATAATAATAATTTACTACAATTCTAAAAATTACAAACTCTTGGTAATTGTACTGAATTCAAATGGGTTCAGTCAAATATTATTAAAAACGGTTGCAGTTGCAGATTCCACTAACCCACCCATTTCCTTGTCTGTTGTAGGTATAACCTGAGCAGCAGGAGGTGGCTGACCCTTGACCCCTCTGTGAACACCGTTGCCCCTAGATACGGACACTCTCTGGCTCTACACGAGGTATATCCCATAATACTCTCCTGTAAAAAACACTGAGAACACACCCATTCCAAAACTGTACGTCCTGGACACAGCTCTCCCTGTGCTGCTGGTGATCTATTTATAGCCCCCTCACTCACTCCCATTCAGTGTCCGTGCAGTCTTTAGTTTATTATGGAAGACAATGGGAGAGATATCGACCGACTTGGAGAAACATTATAAACTCCACAGTGCTTTAGATGTTCTGATGGAGCCTGGTTGACGTCTCGTATTGAAACGTGTGGCTTTTTGAATTGCCGGAGTGAGTGGTGAAAGCTCGCTGATAGAATTATAAATGAGGAATGGGGGAAGGCTGTCTGCGCTGTGGTCGAGGCTGCAGTGGTTTGAAATGCACAAATCGCATCAGAGAAGAAGAGAAAGTGTCTGTGCCAAAAGCTTAAATCTAAACAAGCATGAGTGTAATAAGAAGTGATGCAATAATACGGACAGAACGATGATGTACAAGTTATGGCCTGCTACGACTGCTAATAAGATCTGGGTTTCAAAAGATGATAGTCTTCAGAACCTCTACAGCTTCAGGCTTTGTAATGTGTTCCCATGTTATAATTATATTTAATTGTAGTATAGATTAAAGATAAAGTAAACAGCAAAATGATTAGGTGTGCATTAGATTATAATTGGGATGGGTGAGATGCAATTTGAAGTATAAGTTTGATGTGGACAAGAGGTAGTGTAAGAAGCACTTTTCACTCAGCACCAGTGCACAGTATACATAAAAAGGCACCCAGTAAATGGGCTCAAATAATGTCCCACTTTCAACAGACTTTTCTTGAATGTGAGTCCTAAAAACCCAGAGAAACTTGTGAAAATGGTTTGCATTTATTTATCTTTAATTGTTTCTGTGAATTTTGCTAAAATGCACTTCAAAAGCTTTTGCTGAGGTTTATATATTGCACTTATGTGAATGCCAATCAAATGATAAATTTAATTAAATAACTTGATTTTGAAAGGCTATATATGTTATATGAATGTCTTTTTCATATAATTTTGCCAAACATTTTAAATTAAAATTATCTATCGCCTATACTTCATAATGAACATAACCAAGCCAAAATTTACTTAATTTATTAGATTGTGGCTCACTTCATGTTGTAGTTTCACATGAGAAAGATCAGGCTACTTATTTTACTCTAAAATGAAGTTAAAGTCCTCAGACCTGCCACCTCCACTGCAGCAGCAGGGGCAGGTCCCCTCCTGTCAGATAGATTCCCATATCCTGCACTCGCCTCCGAGGGAAAATGCCAGATGCTTATTTTGTCTGCGCTCAGACTGGAGCACAGCCAGAGGAAATGTCAAGTAGTTAACCTTGTCTGGGGAATAAAAAATGCATTTTTGGAGTCGACCAATAAGATTATTAGATTTAAATACTTAGATCCCTCGGTGAAAAATGCTCTTTTCGATATTTTTCTTTGGCACTACTCACTTACATCAGAAAGCAATGTTATGTTTCAACAATGTGCACAAAATTATTACTGTTAACCTAATATTGATTTGTCAGTGATTTTATTTAATTTTTTTCTTTTCAGTCGCTGAATTTAACAATTACCCCCGATGACTGTATACCATAAATTATTGTAAAAACTCAAAGAAAACAGACTTCTTTTCAAGTCAAAGTTTTGTTAATTTCATGATACATAACACAGGTTGTACTGCCTCTTACAACAATGCTGATCTTTCTTTGTTCTGTCGATAAATAACTAATAGCATGTATTTTGAGTCTATTGATTAATATGTCCTTTTTTAGGGTAAGATCTACATGTATGGAGGGAAAATTGACTCCACTGGGAACGTGTCCAGTCAGCTGTGGGTCTTCCACATTCCAGAACCAGACCTGGGTCCAGCTCGGGCCTCGGGCCAAGGAGCAGTACGCCGTGGTGGGACACTCCGCCCACATGGTGCCCCCCCTCAGAGAAGGAGACAGTCCTGTGATGCTGGTGCTGTTTGGGCACTGTCCTCTGTACGGATACATCAGCCAAGTGCAGGAGTATAACATCGGTGAGGTCCAGAATCTTGAAAAATGTGTCTGTGCATTTTTAATGTGTCCCAGAGCCACTGACTTCTGATTTAATTTAATGAGATGGAAATTCAGTACTTTAGCTAAAGGTTTATTTTGGGATTGTGCTGAAACTTTGCCAGCATACTTTTTTTCTTTATCTCATTTATTGGCTAATATATTATATTTGATGTTAGCTAAAATAATCATAATCATCATAATGCATTGGATTCATATAGTGCATTTGAAAGTGCCTTCTAGTGCATTATGCCCTCATTCTACACTTTTAAGCTAAATCTGTAGCCATAGGTTCCCTGGTGTAGACTGACACTGTGTGTTTGTGTGTGTGTGTGTGTGTGTGTGTGCGCGTGTGTGTGTGCACAGGGATGAACACGTGGAGTGTGGTGTCCACAGACGGGGCTCTGGTGCAGGGCGGATACGGCCACAGCTCAGTATTTGACCCTGGGACCAGAGCCATCTACATCCATGGAGGATACAAAGCTTTCAGTGCCAACAAGTATGGCCTGGCAGGAGACCTGTACAAGTTTGACGTGGACAAGAGGAAGTGGTAAGAGGCACTTTTCACTCAGCACCAGCGCAGTGTATTTTTAGAGAGCTTTTCTGGTGATGTACACTAGTATACATGGATGTCAATATAAGGGCACTCAGTAAATGGACTCAAATAATGGCCAACTTTGAACAGACATTTCTCGAATAGGAGTCCTAAAACTTCAGAGAAACTGTTAAATGTAAAATTTATTTATATTTAATTTATACACATCTGTTTTGAGACATTTTTAAAGGACTGTGTATTGATTTATTTTTGTGTATTTTTGTGTATATGGTTGGATTAACATCACCTTTCCTAATCTCCAACAGTATTTTATAATTCAATTTTACCTCTACAATGCATTTAGTCTAAAAACAGTAGAGTCCATGGCTTTTCTCCCCTAAATGTGAGTGTAATCCTTTATTTTTTCCTTGCTTAGGACCGTCCTAAGGGACAGTGGTTTCTTCCGGTACCTGCACACAGCGGTGATTGTGAGTGGGACCATGCTCGTGTTCGGGGGAAACACTCACAACGACACCTCCATGAGCCATGGAGCCAAGTGCTTCTCTTCAGACTTCCTCTCCTACAACCTGGGTATGCTCCACACATCTGCACTTTTTTATGCCCTGTAAAGTTAGACGGTATCTTTTAAATTGGTAATACACAAAGGATTTTAAAGCAATGGAAAAAATGTTTTCTTTTTACAGTTTGTTTCTGTATAGTCTGCATGGGAGTATACTGTAGCTTAGAAAGTAAGTTCTTCCAGCTAAGGTAGTCCTGTCCAAGACTGGGTCCTTGGGTGCTGCACTGTGGTGCTCACTACTCCTGACAGGTTGCCCCAGCTGTATTGAAGGATGGGTCAAATGCAGATGTCAAGTGCAATGGGCAATTTTTCCTATGAGGACAATAAAGTATACCTTAGATGTATAAAGTAAATACATGTTGTGCTATGGTGTGCTCAGGAGTCTGAAGGGTAGAATACATTTAGTAGTAATGGTACTAGAGTAAGTAGTTAAAGGAGCACTGTGTAACTTGTTTAGCAGAGGGTCTGTCACCTGCTTGTCTCCATGGAGATGTGCCTAGAATGTTCCACAATATGGCCATAACCTTAAGAGTCTTCATGGAGACTTGCAAGCCAAATTACAGGTTAGATTTGTGAAAAGGCCCCACTCACAGTAAGACTAGATGTTTTTTAAAGATATTTTTTAACAATAAAAACAACTGTAGTTTAATAAATTCTGTTGACAATTTAAACCAAAGCATTAACATCTCCATGGAGACAAACAGGTTGTATACTCCCTCCAGAAAAGTTACACAGTGCACCTTTTAAAGTACTAGACAAAAAACTATAAGGCTTACTGTATAAAGGTGATATCTTTAAGGATATTTTGAAAATGGGTAAATCAAATAATAAAATCTAGCTGTGATCAAATGTAAAACTATACTAACCAAAATATCCTAATATAAGATTAAGCATGCATATTACATACGTCTTATACATAATGATTTCACTGAAATATTTCCAATTTACATTTAACTGTTATAAATTGCCTGTCTTCTTTGGCTCTGGTTGGTTTTCCATTGGGCCCGTCAGCAGCTCTCTGTAAATGTGCTGATGCCACACACTGAATGTAAAACAGCCCAGCGCTCACAGGGACAGAGCAGAGTCCCACTAAAGTACAGGGACAGAGGAAGTGTGTGGTTACACAGGAGGGCACGAGTTTGTACTGGAACTAAACCAATGTTCAACTCATACATAAAATCATCATTGTAAAGAGCCAGGTCTATAAAAATGCTGATCAAGTATTTTAAATTGAAAATGGGAGGCCTAAACTTAAAGTGTGTGGCATTTACTGAAGAAATACCAGGGAAAAAGTTAACTTTATGTCTCTTACCAATGTACTAACCGGTAAATGGCTCCATCTAGTGGAAAGGACAGTGCATTGCAAGTTTAAGAGTTACTGCTGAGTTTCATATGACGTCACCACATTCAGTTGTACTGTATTGAGATTGTCCAGTCCACAGTCTTCTGGTCTTAATGTTCTGCTCTGTTGTTCACAAGATACTTTGACTACTTTTCAAATCCAGACAAAAGGCCCCAGTCATAAAACACTGACATGAATCTTATGCTATGTTTGCTCAAAGAACCTCACAATCAAAATAAATTACAAATATAATAGCATGCCCACTGCAAATATCCAAATATGCTCCTGCGTGTGTTTAAAATGTGATCTATGTGAACTGAATTGTAAGCTGAAAACGTAACAAAATATTTGATTTTAGGAATACACATTACATATGTATTATTAGCTGGTCCAGTACTTTATCCACAGCGTTAAATTTCTATATAAGCAAGCTTTAAAAACATTGGACACAAAATACTGCAGATATCATCACATCTATATTGTGCAGAAATATACGTTATTGAACTGGGACATTATTCAATTTGTTAAGTGTATTGGATCACACGTAGATCTGTTCCTCCTTCACTTTGTTTGTGAACTTTAGCTCCAGTGAGGGCAGAGTGACCAGAGGGACAGTGATCTCTTCAGTCAGATCTCCCTCTATTACAAAACGTATATCAAACCTCCTCATACATTACTTGAGAAAATAAACCAGTGTGATGTGGTTGACTTTGTATGCAAATGCATTATACATGAAAAAGAACATCGCATTATTCTTCACAGCTCATATTGTTGGCGTCCCACTCCCACCGCAGTCTTTTCCTGTCATACGCCTCTCATTAACACGTGGCCTTACTGGACAAAAGAGACTCTCCATCACATGTAATATGCCTAAGCCTGTTTGTGTTTCCGTTATAGAGATGACTGACAGACAGTGAAATTACAATGTCAGGGTCACACGCAACCTCGTCCCATGTAAAGGGCTTTGTTGGGACAGTTTCTTCTTAAATAAAAGGCTGTCTTTAGCAGTTATATATGGTCTTTTAGCACATTCGTGGATGAAGAGGAGGTGGATATTGTGGTGCTAGCACAAGCAGAGGCGTTAATATAATCCCCAGTTCTGTCCTGTCCTGCTTTATTTGTCTATTCGCCCACAAGTCCCTAATTTTACATTGAAACTAAACCTCTTTTGGACACAAAAATTTGCACTGGAACAATTGGAGGCACTGAGATCTTGTTTACTACAGGATAAGGTATATAATTAAAACCTATGGGATTTTTTGCAGCTAATTTTGACCTCAAAAGCAATGTTCATGCCATGGTTTAAAGGGCCCATATTACACTATTTCCTGATCTAATGTTGTTTCCTTTCTGTTATGTTGTTTCCTCATCACAAACATACCTGAAGCTGTGTTTTGTTTGATTCACACATTTAACACGTTCTTTTAGAGCTCTTTTCTCAAATGGAAAACACGCTGTTCTACCTTGTTCTACCCCGGGATAATACAGAAGTGCTCCATTGTGTTTTTAATCTTCATACTCCTTCACTAGAAAATTTCAGCCCTGAAACTGCCTATCTTTTATCTTGGAAACTACCACCACATGACATCACAAGGTGGAACAGAGCATTTTGAGCTTTGCAGATGTAGCCAGACTAATAATAAACACTTTCTCATACATGTGTGAATAAAACAACAACTCCTGGGATATTTTTGATGAGGTAACAACATTCCCACATTGTTCAAAGCTTGTAAGAGTGAATTTTGCGTAATATGAGCCCTTAAAATTGTAAAGGCTAGATTACAGGGTCAGTCCCACATCCTATTTGCCCTTATCCTTTTCCTTTGACATGAAAATTTCTAGCCTTTCATAATGACAATGCAGATTAATATTGAGTATTGTGTTTTCTCATCAGCTCAGGCCCAGTCTTAACCTCTGTGTCATCATGTAATTGGAGAGTGGAGGATTTCCCTTTCTCCAGCTGTAGCCTCTGTCATCCACCAAAGTGCTGTAATTGTGTGGTAATTATAAGTCAAGACTGCCCCACAAAAAGACGACTAATTGCCCCCTCTTAACGAACCGAACCCAATTACAGTAGAGAATTTAAGAGCTGTCCACTGTCCTGACACTGGTGAATAAGCTTAAGTTTCAGACAATTTATATTTGAGCCACAAGAGGGCACTATCCACCCACATATATATTCAGTTCTTGGCGCTCTCTGGCTGTGGAAGACAGTGATGACTTGCACTGCATTGTGGGATGTGAAGGTGATGTACTGCAAAGAGATTTGACTTTCACTTTTAACTCTCTCAGTTCTGTGTTTTCTCCCAAAATAGATTGAATTTAACATGGAGACTAATAATGTATAATTAGTGTAGTATATATTTCATAGTTTTTTGTTATTAACCATTGTTTAGTGTTGCGCCATACTGCCGAAGCAAATTCCTAGTTTGTAAATTTGTGAACTGACAATGGCAGTTCAGTTCTAAAGCATATTTTAACTTGTATTTTACGCACATGAGGTTTGGCTTTAAAATGCTCTACACTAGATATAATTAAACATTGAATTCTCCATGTTTCATATAAAGTGCATGCAAGTTTTTTTTTGTTTTTGTTTTTTTAATCATCTGGGAAACACAAATGGACTTTCAAGATATAGTGTGTATATTAACACATTTTGGCTTCTTTGTGTTGGTTTCTGATATAGCAGAAATCACAGCTGTCCACCATTTTGGATTTACTCACAGTTCTTGTACATGTTATAGTTTTTTTTTTTTTTTTAAAGAAATAAGAGCTACTGTTTAAGAGGCAACTAGACTGTGATTGGTCAAATTGGCTCTCAGACCAAGTTGGAGATTAACAAAGAAGAGGAGCGTGTAGAGAAAATAAAATGTATTAAAGCATAAAGCTCCACTATGACAATAACTCTTACTACCTCCCACTCTTATTACCTCCCACATTTTCTTGTTTATACAAATTAAGGCACCAATTTCTCAAGTAAAGTAGGCTATTTTAGGGACACGTGAGGTCTTTAAATGTACTAGACATCATTGAATTCTGCATGTTTCATAAAAATTATATTCAAGTTGTTTTTTCATCTGGGTTACAAATGTGGTTACAAATAGAACTTCAAGATATAGTATGTACTTAAATGTTCAAATTTTCAATTCATGTCACAATTTTGAGGACTTTTCACCATTCAAAAGATTATGAATTTAAAAGAAAATATCCTAATCTCTAACAACTCCGCCTGTAAACCAATTCTACCAGGCAGTATAAATAGTTACTCAACCCTTTATTTTTCTGTCCATGTGTAACCCTTCGACTTTGACCCTGGCTCCATAGATGAGACCACTTTTAACAACAAAAATAGCACAGGTAGTTACAGTGTTGGATTCGACTCTGCTTCTGCTCCTATAATGAAACCATATACACATTTTAAATACAAGTGGAATTGTATTTAACACAATTAACACACAGCAGTTACTCTCCTGTCTAGGTAACTGACATTTACAACTAAAATAAAATAACACTATTAAATCCAAATAGATTACAAAAAAACGTAACCCGTATGTTAGACATGCTTATATTACATAAGAAAACAGTTCAGTTTACATAGAACTTGTATATTTAACATTTGCCAAAAATATAACAAAATCACACAGCCAACTATTTACATCTCATTTATCGAGCCTGTTAACAGCAGAAGTGAAGACCAGAGGGGCTGTAACCACCACTGTTAGTTACCGGAAGATTGTAAAATACAGTCTGGGCCTTAACTGATATTAAATACACAAGATAGATTATATTTTTGACAACATTAATCTTTTTGCATATAGATACTCTTACATTCATTGTGTACTGCCTGTATACTGTATGTCTGTATAAGTACTCTGAGCTTGACCACTTGAAACTTCCAATGACTAAACTTCACTGCAGTATATGCCATTACAAAATACAGACACAACACAATGACTACAATATTTTCTATGTGTCATACCTCTAAATATATCCTCCACATTTTGTTTAGTGTTTTGTCTGTGCTTTTAAAGTACTTGGTGGGGGATCAGCAGGCCCTAGAGTCTATAAATATCTCCCTTTAGTTGTCTGTCTCAGACCTGTCCGCACTCCAGAGAGGGGCGAGCAGGGACTGCTGCAGCTTTGGTGAAATAATGTTATCTACAGCACATATCCAGATATATTCCACTCTCCACTGACTCTTCCTATTCCACCAGAAGACAAGAATGAATAAATGAAGTAGTGTTAACCAGTACATCACGCTGTTGTCACTTAATTATAGTTCTGCCTCTGAAAACAAATGCTCGGTCGCAGAAAGTGATGGCATAATAACTTTTCTGAGGTTTAGGAAATTTATAAGCCATGCAATGAAAGTTTAGAGGATTTATTTATTCGTCTGTGTTTGAGGAAGTATCTGAAGTAACTGTGGGTAAGGCTGTCAAAAATCAGATACTAAAAAAGGTCACATTCACAGGACAGATAAGAATCTTTTCTGCTGTACTAAAAGCGTAAGACCATAGACTTTGATAGGCCCATGAATCACTACTGGGCCAAGGAAATTATGGTTTTATTGTCTAAAGACATTTAATTTTTATTTATTTATTTATTTTTAATCATTGTAGTCTCTAGACAGTCAAACCACATTAAGAGTATATTCAGAGTATTACTGATGAATAAGGAAAAACAGCATACAGATTTCACTCAATTATTATATGTCACATAAATAAAGAAATACAAATAAATGGGTATGAGTCATCTTAACGATCCAAAGTACATTGAACTTGGGCTACTTTGTGAACGAGTATATGATATTCCCATAGCGATATGGATCAGGACAGTTACTTTTTTTTTTTTTTCTCAAATGATGATTTTGTCCCTCTTAATTTTATTTTATTTTTTTTATTTCTGTCTAGTTGTGACCCTTTCAGTCAGATTGAAGAACACTACAGTATATTACATTCACTGACATGAGCCTATGATGAGTTATTAAAACATTGCTGTAGCCACATGTCAGTTACACTTTGTCTCTCTGACCTTTGACCTCTGTGTTCCTGCAGCTTGTGATGAGTGGACCATCCTGCCTCGACCCGATCTGTACCACGACATCAACCGCTTTGGACACTCTGCAGTCTTCAGTGAGGGGTATGTGTATGATTGTCAGTGGATTAATTTAACAACCAGAGAAATCACATAATATATTGTATGTTAGTTTTCCATAAAAATAACTTCCAATTAATATTACTTTGGGCTTATTTATTTTCAACTTATTTGTAGTATTATAAACTGAATCTTGAAATTTACTTTTTTGATTGGCAATGTTTTTATCATGGCATTAACTCATTATTTGCATTCTACTCAAAGGATTCTATTGAAATGAACAATTTTTCTTAACAATTATCCAGTCTTCATATTAAAGGTTCTATATGACACAAAATTGACTCTTGTGAGTGTTTAGCCGTGTTAAAATGTTGTTACCTCATCAAAAATAGGAGTTGTGTTTTGTTTCATTCACACACTTGAGTAAAACTGCAATTTTAGGCTCTCTACATCTCCAAATCTCCAAATTCTCTGTTCCACGTTGATGATGTCGTGACATGGTAGTTTTCAAGTTAACAGCTCCTTTAACCTTTAGTTCAGTAGTTATTGACAATTTTCTGGGCTGAAATTATCCAAATGATTCTAGTGAAGGTGTATGGAGTATGAAATTGTATTATTACATGACATCACAAGGTGGAACAGAGTGTTTTCAGTTTGAGAAAAGAACAACTTCAGCAATATTTGTGATGAGGAAGTAACATTATAACATAGATCAGAAAATGGCATAATATGGGCTCTTTGTAACCACACCAGTGAGCTGGATGCTATTTACTACTGTTTTATCATTTGAATGTGTTTATTTTTTTAATATTATATCATTATTTACCCAGGTTAATGTTTGAGAACCAATTTCAATTTAAGAACTGAATGAGCCAAGCTGTGATTTAGTGTCTCCTATATAAAATAATATTTTTTTTCTCCTCGGTTTCCCCATGATAAAAACACCCTTCACTTGAACTACTCAGTTAGCTCCATTTGTAGGAAAATTGCTCCCTGGACAGTAATGCCTATAATGGCTGTCTGAAGTTACGAATTGGCCCGTTTTTGGCAGAGTAAGTTGCAGTATGTGGATATTATGGACTGAAGACTTTTTTTCCAAATCACAAATAGACTTCTCAAAATCAAATCACCGTCAGTTCTGTGTGTAAAAATGCATCTTATTTAATGGGTAGAAACTGGTGTATTCTGTTGTCACTTTTACAGAGCTAGACTCATTTTCTCTTAGTGTGATCATTTTGGAGAACCCTTTTTAATAGATTTTCACAGTGTACAATCTCTAGTGGTTATGGCAGGTTAAATCATATTTATTAGACACAGCGGCATATTAAAGCAGTTTGACTTCATTTAGATAAACACAATGAGTTTAAAATGCGCTTATAAAACATCCACACACAGAACCTGAGAGCTCATGTTCAGTTTAAAGCTCATTTTCTGAAAGAGGACTGAATGACTCATCTGATAAAGTGTCGGCCATTTTGAAAAGCAATTCACATTTGGATCAGCCAGAAGAACTTACTCTCTTGTCTACTGCTGCTTCAACTTTAAAGGTGCATTGTGTAACTTTTCAGGTGGAGGGTCTGACAAAAGCTTTTCTCCATGGAGATGTTATCACTTTGTCTGGAATGTTTCACAGTATGGTAGCATTCTATCTTCATGGAGACCAAACCAGACCAAGTTACAGGCCAGATCTGTGTAGAGGCCACCGCACTCACAGTCAGAATGCCTGTTGTTCTAGGTATTTCTGAGCTATAAAACTGCCCATTATTGAATAAATGTAAGGTAGAGCTGTTTATTTTCTGGTAGAGGGCCTGCCATCTTGCTTTGCCTAGAATTTTCCACAGTATAGCATTAAACAAATTTATCTCCATGGACACAGGCGGGTGAAGCTCCCAGGCCAAGTTACAGGTCAGATGTGTGGATAGAAAGATGTCCCTGGTCAGAGTAAGAAGGCATGTTTGTTAAAGTATTCTTTTAGCAAGATGGAAAAATTGTATGCCATACTGTGAAACATTCCAGGCCAATCATGGAGACTAGCAGGTAGTTTACTCTTCACTAGTGAAGAAGTGCAGATTTAACTTGATTCTGAAATAGATTCAAAGTTTTATTTATTGACTTATTGAATAGAAATTGCAATCTTCAAATTTTTCTTTTGAAAACTGAAAAATCTTTTGCTGTGCTATCAGAGACTGGTCAAATAACTCTTAAACCTTTTAAAGTGTTTGGATAGTTTGAAACTGAAGTGGAATTTTGCAGTGACTATTCTTAACATATTCATTTCGAGGTTAAATTCCTCATGAGGGCCCCATTAGTATGTGTAGCGCTTTCATAACAAATTGAAAGCATGTTAGAAAGACGCTTTGCTGCAATTTGCTGACCCTGCCTCTGTCTGCTCCCCCCGTGGCTCATATTTTCCAAAATGAAAAGAAAAAAGTTCTTCGTCGTCCTCCTCCTCCTCCTCTCTCTAATCTCTGCTCACAGCGGGACGTCCAAGAACAAGAGTTTGAAGTGTGCCCTTTTATGATCCGCAGAGACTTTTGATCAGACCCGTGCAAATTATACCTGGTGCCCTCCCGCCCCACCACACACTTGGGACCACACAGGGACTAATCTAGGGGCCACTGGGGCAGATGTGTCCAGTGAGGTCTTGGACAGTGTATCCGTACAGGGGATTTCTCCACAGGGGATCTAAAGGGAGGAGAGAGAGGGGCACATGGCAGGGTTTAAGCAGACTTATGAGAGAGGAGAGGAGCAGCCCTTATAGACAAAGCTGTGCAGATTTACAGTGTGCCAGAAATAGAGGAAAGTGGATTCAACTATAAATGAGGATGGAAACAACTTGGTGTGTTCATTTTGTGCTAAATGAGGAAAATATGGTCCAATAAAATACCATAATACAAAATATGTGGCACCAGGTTAAAAGGAATGGTTGGATAACGCGTGAGACTGTTTGTAAGAGGATGAACTTTTCAGACTGTTTCTGAGCAAAATTTGTTGTGAAATTACTATAATGATTGTTTTTACGTTTAGATAGTATTTAGCAAGACCATATGTTTATGTGCGTTCTACTGATATCTAATTATAATGTCATTCTCTATCAGACAAAGTTTCTCAGCTTTAAAAGTACTTGCTGTAATGGTTGTGATAATGGTACTTCCTCATCATTAGCATATTCAGAGTTGTATTTCAATTAATTCATGCACGTTTGAGTAATCCTGTACTGTACTGAACAGTTTCTTCAATGGAAGGTTGCAATGTATAACTTTTTTGGTTGGGGATCCGCCACCTGATTGTTTCTATAGATATGTCATTTAAAAAAGCACTTGATAGACCCGCCACCAGAGAAGTTACACAATGCACCTTTAATATATCCAATATATTCACTAAATTGTCTTGATAGAATGATAGAATTTATTTTATTGCATCATATTTGAAGAGAATGTAAAGAAAAACTTAAAACCTTGCAGTTTGTTTTAATCACTGATAGCTTTTCATTATTCATTCATTAACTGTATTTCTAAAGCCCAACTCTTTATTCTCTCTCGTAGTGTGATGTACGTGTTCGGAGGGTTCAACAGTCTGCTCCTCAGTGACGTCCTCATGTACACCTCTCCCAACTGCTCCGCCTTCTCCTCGGCCTCCTCCTGCGCTCAGGCTGCTCCCGGGATCCAGTGTGTGTGGGACAGTGTCCAAGAATCCTGCCTGCCCTGGGACAATCATGTGACCACACCTGAACTGCCCCCCTCCTGCAATACCAGATCATGTAAGCAGAGTGTTGCCGCCAAACAATGATTAAAGGTCCTATATTATACTAAATCGACGCTTATGAGCTTCACGCCATGTTATAATTTTGTTCCCTCTTCAAACACATACCTGGAGTTGTTTTGTTTCACTTACACATGTTTGAGAATCCTTTATTATTACATTTCCAAAACTCAAAATACTCACGGTAACAGCGACCTTTTGCCTTTAGTTCAGTAGAGTTTGGCAATTTCAGGGAGGAACTGATCAAAATGATGACACAGTGCAGGATTTTTGTGTTAAACATATGTGACTGTAACAAAACAAAACTCCAGGTATGTTTTTGATGAGGAAATAACATTGCAACATACATCAGAAATGGCAAATGGCTTAATTTGGGCTCTTTAAAGAAAAAAAATAATTTTGTCAACTGAACAAAAGTTATTCTAGATGCAAATATTTGTCTAATATATCTAATTCAACCACATACATAAAAACACAAAATATACAATAAAAAATCTTTTGTTTCCTTCCAAGCAAAAGATATGTTTGTAATAAATTTATAATTAAAAGAAATGAATTATAACTCTGATGAAACTGACAAAGTTAGCCACTATTTCTCATGCTTTCACCATTTTACAAAATAAGGCTATAGAGAGTATTGTTTCATCCACAATATGTTGAATAGTAGAATCAAAAGTATACTGTGGTAAAACTTTTAACAGATGTCAAATATAATTGTTTTCTAAGAGTTATGTCAGTAAATTGTAAATGTATCCCCCTTCCTCCGCCCGTACATCTCTAGTGGTGGAGGTCTCCAGACTCAGACTCATGTCCAATGAGATGCAGAGTCTGTCAGGAGCTGCTTGTTAGTCACACACACACCGTCAGTGCCAATGTAAATCTCACCAACTGAGAATAACACCAAACATGGCCACCAGAGTGCATTTGGGGCAAGTGGCTCCAGATGGATTCTTTTAGTCTAGTAGAGCACTGAGATATTATAGTGAGGCTATTGTACGGAATGCTTTTTATTAACCTTAAAACATAGAGGTCTAAATATTGCTGTAGAATTGCAGATAACAATTGCAATACAAATTTCTACTATATATTGTCTTATTTTTCTTGCCTGTTTTCTATTACAAAGGGAACACAAATGTATAGAAACACTAAAAAAGGTGATTTGTCATTTTAAAGGTACAACGTGTAACTTTCTGGTGGAGGGTTTGTCACCTACTTTTCTCCATGGACATAGTTACTGGTCAGATCTGTGGAGAAGCAACCCCACTCACAGTCAGAATTCCTGGTTTTTCTAGGTATTTTGAGCTGTAAAACTCAAAATACTCAAAATCTATTAAATGTCATATTGTGGAACATTCGAAGCACAGCAGTGACATATCACCATGGAAACAAGAAGGTGACGGACCCCCAATCAAAAGTTATAGTGCATCGTTAATTTTTTTTAAATTTTTGCCAAGCTTGAATCTTGGTTCATTCATGATCACAAGTAGGTATGTGCAGATCTTTAATGCATCTAATTCTCACATTAAATAGGCGTCTTTTTCATCCCATATACACGCTCTTACATGCTCCCAAAGTCACATGGCCAATCGTCGTGCCCATTTCCCATGATTCCCTACTCTCTGTCTGGTCCCCGCTGAAGGTAATCTCTGGGGACAGTGCAGCCTCTCTCTCTGCCCCCCACTGGGTTTCTCTTACTGCACTTTGCTGGTTGTCATTTGTCACAAAAATCTTCCATTTCCACAACGCGCTGGCCTCATTCCTCAGAGCCCGTCCCTCCGCCACAGTCAACAGATAGAAAGTACTATGGAGCAGAAACCTCCCACACAGTTAATACAGCGCCCGACCGCTGCTGCTGCTGTGGCCCTCACCCTGCTCCACTTATGGACGGCTCTATCTGTGCTGGAAACAGTTTGTCTTTAACTGAACATTTCAATCATTGTCCACAGGCTTTAAAGTTTTTCATTACTTGAAAGTGCATTATGTGACTTTTCGGTCGGGGGTCCTTCACCTTCTTGTTTCTATGGATATGTCATTGCTCTGCTCCAAATGCTCCACAATATGATATTAAACAGATCTACCTTATATTTATTTAATTCAGGTGGCTTTATTGCTCAAAAATACATAGAAAACAGGCATTCGGACTGTGAGCGGGGTCGCCTCTCCACAGGTCTGACCAATAACTTGGCCTGGTTTGATCTCCATGAGGATAAAAAGGTTTAAAGGCACACCGTGAAACATTTCTGACAAAGCAATAACATCTCTATGGAGATAAGGATTTGAAGGACCCTCCACCAGAAAAGTTACACAATGCACCTTTAAGATGCTAAAGTAGCGAAGTCACATGTTTATTATGTGTTTTTATAAAGCAAGCATTGCACAATATCTTGTTAAAAATTCCCATATAGACTGTCAGTCAATTTACAATTGTTCTTGAATATTACACTTTTCTTTTTTTTGTTTAATCTAATTTGTCTGTGTCTTAAGTGGTCAAACAATTAGTGTAGTTCATTTGATTATATTTGTTCAGGAGCAGACCAGCTAGATGAATTCAAAGGGCAACTCTTATTGCAAATAGTATTTTTTCTCAACAAGCCCCAAGATCTTACCCTGCATGGCTAACACAACATTATGAGTTTTTTCCTATCTGCCCTATAAGTGCTCATGGTAGGCTGTTGCTATATTAGGTTCCACTTTATAATAACTACACCTTAATTATCTGTAATAAAGCAAACAAGTACTTAATTCATAATGAACAAAGAACTACTTAAAACTACTAACCATTAATCATTCATTCAACTATTTGTTCAAAACTAACTAGGAGGGCCATTTAAATTCACCACGTGGGCTCCGTCTCACAGTTTTCGTAGTCCATATTTGTGTACATTTCACTTCCTGAGGCAGCTGTTGTCCGTGTGTCCAGACGCTGATAACGAGAGGTGTGACCAGTACACCGACTGCTACAGCTGCACCGCCAACACCAACGGCTGCCAGTGGTGCTCCACACAGTGCGTCTCCATGGCGAGCAACTGCACCTCCAGCTCGGTAAGAGTAAAAAAACACAAAATGACTGTCTTTAATACCCCCAGTTTGTAATTAGATTAGTGGGAAATTATAATTGGCCACTAATGCTCTTGAATTTCTAAATGCAAAAGAGGGAGCTAATTGACAGTGTTTTAGTTTTGCAAATACGTAGAAACAACATAGCTATTTTACTAATTATTTATTTTTAATGTCAGAGCATATGTTGCTTATGAGGTAGTGCATTTTCCTATTCCCACTGAATGCATTATCAGAGATCTGCGTTACCACTGCTGCAGGGAGAAGTGAGGGGCTGGGTGAGCTCCATCGAAGGCCAGAGGAGGTACATATAAATAATAAACGTAAAAATGCCTCAAATCTTTTTAAAGAAAACTTAGAAACTCATTAAAGAAAGTTATGTGCTTGTATCCATTAAAACTACTTTTAGCAATTTGTAACTGGCAACCAAGATACACAGCTGCTACCTAGAATGTTCTTATAGCACCCATTAACTACTATAGTGTTTGAATGGGCAGCACCTGCACCTCCAGCGTGGTGTATTTAAAGTATCACATCTGTATTGTAAAGACATAAAAAGCGTAATTTGCTTATACCTTTTAAAACTTGGCTATACTTAACTGTTTGAAACACACACAGTTAAATTCCTTTTCCAAGTATTGCATTGTACATCATATGCAAATACCAGTGGTAGAATGTAACAAAGTAAAAGTACTGTATTTAAGTAAAGTTTTTTGTTTTACTTAAATACGTTTTAAAGTGGATTCTTACATACTACATTTTTTAACTGGTCTGAAAAGTAAAAGTATTTTTTCTTATTGTGTGAGACATGCTGAGAAGGCTGAGGGTTTATTTTTTAACACAATTGTAGTTTGAGCAAACAAAAATATACAAATAAAAACAGCTTGGAAAAAAAAAACGATTTAATTGTTTCAACAGAACGAAATTCAGCACAAATCTTCACTACATGTGAAATCTTATAAGACCTCAAAAGCCTTTTTACCAGTACATTTTTTAAACAGGTACTTTAATACTTTTAATCAAATTGTTTTTTTCTTTCATGCAATACTTTTTTACTTTTACTTGAGTATTTTTTTGTTCCAGTATCTGTACTTTTGCTAAACTAACAAAACTGAGTACTTCTTCCACCCCTGGTTTATACTATTTATGTTCACGTATTATGATTAAACTGGACTAAATTACATCAGAGATTATATAAAAAAACAAAACAAAAGAAAGCCTTCTGTATAATACTAAATTAAAAGAGCTGGATGAAACAATTCAATGCAATTCAAGATGATGTTTTTAAATAGAAAACTGCTAAATCCTGTTCAGAATGCCATTGTGCTTAAGGGCTTTTGTGTGTGACTGTACAGTGAACAATGTCTTGTTTTACACTGATTAAAAGAGAAAATAAATGCAGTAACAAGACACATTTAAATAACGGGCAGCCTGTAATTCGCTCACTGTTATAAATTGAGACGTGTCGGCATATTTGAATAATGATTAAATAAATGACTGATGAAGCACGTTCTCCTTCCCAACTCCAAATCTGATTTATCAACCGGAGATTACATTTGGGCTCATTTGGATTCGGAGCAGCACACGCAGGGGCTCATATGTCTCCTCTGGTTTGTTTGTGTGTCTTTGGGGTTTCCGTGGTAATAGTTCATTCACTCTTTCCAGATTTTTAATGAAATTGTGTTGACGTGCAGTGGAATAACATTTGATCTCGCGCTAAAAATGTAGATGAATTCAAGTATTGTGGAAAAGTGTATATATTTGACTATTAAAATGACAGAGACAACCATATCATACACCTATAGCATGAGTAATACATATCTGAATTTAGAACAATTTATATTTTGTTTTATTTTTATTTTTTATTTATATTTTATATTTTTATTTTTTTTTTTAATTTATATTTTTTATTTTTTACACCATGAGTAAAACTTTAATATTACATATGGTAATACATTAAAGAATACCAAGAGGGATATATAGAAGGATGCATCAGGAAGCAGAAAGCTTACTCCAAAAAAAAAATAAAAAAAAATCAGCACTTAACACTTAAAGATACAAAACTTATGTGTGTCTTATGTGTGTATCAATTTCTGAATGAAATTACTTAACTCCTTTCACTTTGTGTGGGTAAAACTTAAACCTTATTCTGTTTTGTCATATTTCAGGGGTCAATTTCAGAGTTTGACGGCTGCCCCAAAGACAACCCTACTTATGTTTGCAACAAGAAAACGAGCTGTAAGAGCTGCGCCGTGGACCAGAACTGTCAGTGGGAGCCCAGGAACCAGGAGTGCATCTCTCTGCCCGGTACAGTACACAGAAGGGAGGGGCAGAGTGTGACCAACCAAACACCTGCTGCTTTTTTAGCATATACAGCTCTAAAATTATTTTTGCACCTAAATCTGATATGTTTTAAATCTAAAATTTTTACAGCTATCCTTCTGTGAGACATACTAGTTATTATATGATAAACTGATGGATCCTGGCAAAAACATCCTTCAGATAACCTACTAAATACACAAATTATATATTCTAAATATAAGTATATGCAAACTTGAAACAACTTAACATAATTTACTTTATTTAACACAGTATTTCTTATAGAAGAAATATCTTCTATAAGAAGAAATATACACAACTATTTAATCATTTAAGATCACTACATGTAAAAACATCACAAATTAGGGAGCTAGGGAATTTGGATGATAGTTGAAACATGTGTGATTGTGATTGTGAGATGACTACATTTGATTCTTTTTAACATGACCACTACTGAATGAAAGAGGGATTGCACTGACATTGAAGCACCTATTGCTCTCTTCTAATCTATGTTATAATGTTGTTTCCTTATCACAAACATACCTGGAGTTGTGTTTTGTTTCATTCACACACACATTTAACACACAAACCCTGCATATTAGGCTGCATTCCACCTCTATTCCACGTTGTGATGTCATGTGGTAATACATGAATTGCGCTACTGTTTTAAAGTGGATTCTTACACTTACACTTAACCCTAACCCTAAACTCCATACACCTTTACTAGAATCATTTGGATGATTTCAGCCCTGGAATTGCCTATCACTATTGAACTAAAGGTAAAAGGTAGTTGTTGAATTGAAAACTACAGCTTCATGACATCACAAGGTGGAACAGAATGTTTTGAGCTTTGGAGACAGACTAATTATTAAGGGTTATTCAAACGTGGGGATGAAACGAAAACAAACAAAAAACAAGTATATTCTTGATGAGGTAACAACATTCTAACATTTTGCAAAATATAATAATCAGTACAGACTTTTAGTTTTCTAATGCAAATTTTCTTATTTTGCAGAGAATGTTTGTGGTGAAAGCTGGCATCTGGTTGGAAACTCGTGTCTGAAGTTCATCACAGCCAAAGACTCGTATGACAATGCTAAACTGGCCTGTCGGAGCCATAATGCTGTCCTGGCCTCCCTCACCACGCAGAAGAAGGTCGACTTTGTGCTGAAGGAGCTGCAGATCATGAGCGTGGTGGTAAGAACAAATGAGCCCCTAAAACATGTTTGCTGGTGTTTTATCTACTTCAAGCTCTCGTAAGGAGATGGGTGGATTTTGTCAGTGTCACAAGAACGAAGAAACTGTTTTTTCCAGTGGGGTGCCATCGTTTTGAAATTTGTAGTTTTCCTGATGCTTGAAATGTTTGTAGCAAAAGAAATCTCTCCCCTTGATTATATTTATAAATGTGCTTGGTGAGTTGCCGAGTCTAAGTTGTGAATGTGAATGGTTGTCTGCCTGATTTTTTTATTTTTTTACTGTAGTGGGCCAAAACACGTTTTGAACACATGCTAGATTAATCTTAAATGAAATTGAACAATCAGTCATACTGTGGAACTTTCAAGCGTTCATGACATCAGGCAGGAGATATTCTGTGTCCAGGTGTAGGACAAATAGACTAAAACTTTCTTTTGTCCTTCCCGTTATTGGTCTTTTTAAATAAAGGAAATGCATTAGTGGTGCACCATATTGTCCCATCATACTTACTTAACTTATTTAACAACTGCTGCACCTTGGGAACCTAATAAAATGTTGAAGCAGGTAGTGATCCTTCTAACTTTCCACCCACTGCATATTTAATATTATACATTGTTACAAGTTAGTAACAGACTTAAAGGTTACTAAAAATAGTGTACTAAAATATGTTAAAATGGGCCAGTACAGAGAATTAAAAACAAACTCTTCCCCAAAACTTCTCGGCTTACTTGCACTTTTTTCGTTTTGTTTTGGGATTTTCTTTTTGTCAATAGGTGAGCGACAGAGAGATGTTTTGTCTGTGGTTTTCGTGGGCCAGTGAGCATGAAACAAATCTCCCATTAACAGAACAGTTCCTCAGAGCTCAGACATCTCTTACGCGCTCCGCTAGAGCAAACAACCCCAAATCTATCCACGGCCATCGACTAGATCATCCCAGGCAGGTCAGGCAGTGCGCGGGAAGGTGAAGGTGTGAAGGACAGACTGACGGACTGCTTTACTTATCTCCATTTCGCCACTGCCACTCGCAATAACAGCCATAATAATATAAAGATATGATCTGCAGTGTTTACAGTGAGAGACAGGGGTTTTCAAGGTGCAGGTAGAAGGAGTAATTTCACTTGTTTAGTTCAGCTTAGAGTGTTTGTTTTTATATGGACAAAGCATAAACAGATGATTTTGGTTTAAATTCTTAGGCACCTGTTTAGGTTGCGCGGCATGTTAGCTGAGTGGCTAGTGTCGTGGGGCCTTTTTGTGCAATTTGCAAGTTCTATAATGGGTAAAATCCTCCAATTAATGTAGTCCTGACTAGGGATGCACTAATACAATACTGGTGTCTGTGGCAGTGTTAAAAATTTTGGTGGATCGGATATTGACTTCCAAGATACTGGGTCAGCTGATATCCCATTTAGGTCTATAAACTTTTGTAATAAGATGATTTACTGGCCAGTATTGGTCCAAATGTCTCATAATATTAAACTTGGATTAAATTTGGATTTTTCAGATATGTTTAAAGGAAATAAACACATATGAGTTCGGTCAATTTCGGATATTTTTTCGCACTGTGCCCTGGTATCGGTTCAATATCGGGTGTATTTTCGCACTGTGCCCCGGTATTGGCCAATATCGGGTGTATTTTCGAACTGTGCCCCAGTATCGGTCAGTATCGGTCAGTATCGGGTGTATTTTCACACTGCGCCATGGTATCGGTCAATGTCGGGTATCGGCAGATGCTTAAAGCCAGAGTATCGACATCGGTATTGGAATGGAAAACATGGATGAGTGCATCCCTAGTCCAGACCAAGCCTAACTCTATATCTGGAGCTGCTTCTGACAGTTTGCATTAGCGACGTGGAAGGATGGGTCAAATGCACATCCAAAAATTATATCTTAACCCTAACGAAATAGATGGCGATTGTTCATTGCAAAATGTGCAGTACAACATCTATTACAAAGTGTCTACATTCTTTTTACTTTTTATATGAAAAGTTTGATGTCAACATTGTAATATATTTGAAATTTCCATGATCAGGCTGCAGGCATTACATTCACTGTGACATGAAAAATGGATCTCGTCTTCATGACATCTGTAAGCTGGCAGGAAATATTGCGCAGCATGTTAATATTTCCAGCTCCAAGTTGTATGGAGAAATGGTATAAAGCCAGCATTTCGTGGGCCCAACTGTGATTACTGGATGAATGGGTGAAGGAAGTTTTGGTGGGGGTGTTTCTAATCTTTACCGGCCACTATCTTTCAAAACACAGGGAGCAGGTAATGGACTTAGACTTCGACAAACCTTCTTGATTCTCATATATTTGGACAAAGTAGCTCCCACACCACAGTATAATATAATAACAAAAAGCAAAAAAGATAAATGGTAATAATACATCCAAAATAATAACAAAAGTAGCAAGAGTCTGGTGTCAAATATACAAGACGAAGGTGAGGAGAAACAGTGCAAAGGTGAAATAATGATTGACATGACATAGGCTGATGCATTGGGAGTGAATGCTGTGTAATATTTTTCAGTCCTATACAAATGAAATAATGTAATTTTATAGCAGACTGCCTAAATACAATTACACATTTCTTCTTTTTTGCTTTGTTTTTTTGACACTCTTCTTAAAATGACAAACTAAACAGAAGTGTGCTGGCTGTCATTGCAGTATAAGGCGATGATGACTCCGTGGGTGGGTCTGAGGAAGATTAACGTGTCTTACTGGTGCTGGGAGGACATGTCACCGTTCACAAACACGTCTCTGCAGTGGCTGCCCGGAGAGCCCAGCGACGCAGGGTTCTGTGGATATTTGGCCGAACCAGCCTCCAGTGGACTCAAGGCTCAGACTTGCATCAATCCAGTCAATGGCAGCCTGTGTGAGAGGCCAGGTGGGTCTCCTAATGTCTCACTCTTTAATCTGCAATCACTTAAAGGCACCCTACCTGATTTTTACTGTCACAAAACACAAAATACAGAACTAGTTAATTTTAAGTGGCTTGTAGTAGTTCAGTTATTCCCCACTTACCTTATGCATTCTGAGCAGCCTAAGAATTCACCCTACTGAGTTTGTAATTGTTTTTCACAACTCTGACTCCAGTGTTTTGCTGTGACTGTAAAGCAACAACTAGCTTGCAAACCACCACTTGCTGTTTAGTGGACAATTAAATGCTTTCTAATTAGATGTAGACACGTGCATAACACATGTATATTGCATAAGCAGCTGTTGGGTTTTAAATATCTGTAGTTTATTTATTAATACTTGACTTGACAGTTCTTAACCCCTATTCTCTCTGGTCATGCTATGAAATTAAATTGTTGATTTGTGGTGACAGAAAAGACTCTTTCATGTGGACCAGTGACCGATATTTTCACCTTTTCAATCTGACATTTAAAAGTCTAATTCAGCCTCAGAGTTTTGACCTGACCTAAACCTCAAATTTAAACTTGAGGTCCATCAGAATGTTATAATGCCACATCAGTGTCACATGATAAACCGTTAACTGTACTTTTGTGTTTTCCAGCCAACCACAGTGCAAAGCAGTGCCGTGTGCCGTGCGCCATGAGGGCCACCTGTAGTGAGTGCACCACGGGCAGCTCCGAGTGCATGTGGTGCAGTAACATGAAGCAGTGTGTGGACTCAAATGCATACGTGGCCTCTTTTCCCTTCGGACAGTGTATGGAGTGGTACACCATGAACGCATGTCCACGTAAGGCCATTCTATCCTTGGGTGTCCTTGGTAATGGGGGTGTGGTTTGTGTATTGATACTAGGAGTGACATTAAGCTGGGGCTGTTTTACATTGTATTTCTAATGGTGGAATATTGAGCAGTTACCATGGCAAACACAGACGAAAACTTTTTAAGAGAAAACTCGAGAAAAAATACAAAATGGATTTGCTGGATGGATGAACGCATTTTCAAGAGTTTGTGACGGCTGAGAGACTTGTTTAAGAGCATTAATCATCTCACCTGATGTAGCTCCGACAAAGTCAGCTCTTTATAGTCAGATGGTGTTAAAATAAAGCCCAGATTAAGTCTAATTTGAGTAACAGAGCTTCTTCAATTTTATTTTTTGCTGCCTCCATCTGTATTAAATACTACTATTACTAATATTATACTTTTTCTCTCTAAAGTTTTTCCCAGAAAATCATCTGCTCCTAAGTTTATTGAAACATATTTTTGCCATAGGGCTTAACTCTTTCATTATTTTAAGTAAAAACATTTAAATGAATGAAAGAACCACTGAAAAAAAACAAAAAAAACAAAAAAACAAAAACAAAACATGTATATCTAGATATAAGGTAATCTATTTGGCGAGAGGGGCAAAAATGTTTTTGACAGCATTAGATAACTCATTAAATTAGATAAAAGTTGAAAATTTATAATTTTTCGGCAATTATCACATTTAAATCCCCAAAGACACTGTATTATCTTTTCTGACATTTTGAATTGTTAAACAGCAACACCTTGACATCCCCTCCTCACAAGTCAAAAATATCTTCAAAGGTGTCGATTCAAAACTACACTAATCTAACAGTTCTCATATGCATAGAAACTCTAGACACTGTATCCTGCCTCAATTGTGCATTGTGTAACTTTTCTGGTGGATTGTCCATCAATGCTTTTCTTCATGCGGATGTTATTGCTTTGTCTCGAATGTTTCACCGTATGGTATTAAACCTTTCTAGCTTCATAGAGACCAAACCAGACCAAGTTAAAGGTCAGATCTGTGGAGAGGCAAACCTGCTCACAGTCAGAATGTCTGTTTTTCTAAGCATTTTTTGAGTTATAAAACCACCTGTAATTGAGTAAAGGCAAGGTTGAGCTGTTCAATATCATACTTTGACTTTGGAACATTCCAGGCAGAGCAATGACATATTCATACAAACAAGCAGGTGACAGACCCCCAACCAAGAAGTTACATAGTGCAACTTTAAGCGCTTCCATATTGAAAACCCATAGATTAAACATAAAACATGTGCTTTTAAAAGGGAAGAAATCTCACTTCTGCATTACATATTCCGACAACTTGTCTTTGAACGCATCACTCGCGGCCTTGTATAGAACTGTAGTCTCTGCAGTGTGAAATTGTGCATTGAAGTGTTTAGAGATAAGATTTAAACACGTATATTTCCTACGACTACTGAGATGTCATTCATTTTCAGAATCATTTAGGAAATCAAAAATGCATAAAAAGTCCCCTCACGTAATCATTCTCTTGCTGTAAATGCGCCTCCATTCAAGTCATATATTTTATCAGTCTAAAAGCACACGGCAGCCAATATATTTAAACTATATTACCGTTTTAATGCTAGCTTCTCCTATGTGTTAAAATGGCCTATTTCATCAGAATGGCTGCTATGTGTCTCTGTGGGAAAGCAGAGAACAGTTTCAATTTCTGTAACATAGTTGGTCAATTAAGTGCAAATATCCACTTACTGCCAGAGCTCCCCTTTGGGACTACAACTAAAGGCATATAGTGCTATAAGCCATTGGTCAACCTCTGCACCGGTAGGAGGCATTGTATGTGCAAGGTCTGATTCAATTTACACCATTTATACAGTATATAGGAGATAGTGTATAGAACTAGATTTTAGATTTAATTACAAGTCAAAAATAAAAGGGTACTTAATGCGTCAGTCTGATTTATATTACTCGTTTACATATTGACATAAATCAAAGGACAAGTTCTTTAAGCTTTAAGCCATGTTATAATGCGGTGGAGTTGTGTTTTGTTCCATTCACACACGTCCGAGTAACCCTTTATTATTATTCTTCAAAGCGCAAAATGCTTTTCAAGTTAACACCTAGCTTTTACCTTTGGCTTAATAAATTCAGGGCTGAAATCACCTCAATGATTCTAGTGTATGAAGCTTAAAAACACAATGGAGCACTTCCTCAGCCCTCAACCCTAAATATGCAGGATTTGTGCGTTAAACATGTTTGAAAGAAGCAAAACACAACTCCATGTATGTTTGTGATGTGGAAACAACATTATAACATACGTCAGAAATAGAATAATATAGGCCCTTTAATTAAAACACACTAGGCTCCTGAAAACCTTGTGTTTGTACTAAAGGTGCACCATAACCTTTCTGCTTTGCCATATTAATTTATTACCGTGCAGTGTTTATTGCAAAATTAAAATTAAAAGCGGAATCACCAGCTTGTCTCCATGGAGAATGATGAGTTTAAAAGTTAGTTATGATATTTTGAAAGTTTAATTACATTTCAGGCAAACCAATAACATCTCCATGGAAACAAGTCTTGTACCAGCCACCAACCGTCCACCAGCGGGCATAATTTAACGACAGAAAAGACTAAAATTTTCTTATTGTGAATGTTGAATAGTCATAATCTTTCAGAAAAACTTTATTTGACTCTTTCTTGAGGGAGTCTGGGCCAAGACAACAGCACAGATCAGTCAATACATCAGCATACATTTGTTTTTTGAGGACACTAGGAAGAATAGCTGATAACTAAGAAATGAATAAATAAAAAACAATAAATAAATAAATGGAAATAAAATAAAAAATAAAATGGCAAATAGAAAAAAATATACAAAATAATAATAAAAAAAAAAACACAATGGAAATTTAATAATAATAAAATAAATAAAATATGTTATGATTTGCCCATGATGCTAAAAACACAAAAAATAAGTTGACCAAATTTTGTGAATCTATTCTGTATTCTCTACATAGGATTCTGTCAGGTTGCATTTTTGTTTGAATGGCTAAAGAAGACACTGTGGATGCCTCCTCTCTTGTATTGGCAGTTTCGAGTGTAAAGATCAATATGGTGTTTAGATTAGCAGTGGAGCTGGGGTCAGGAGACTTAACTTCCCTCTATAATAAAGCCACAAAGCAGAAACAGGAAATCAGCCTGGCTCTACTCAAACTCTCTGAATGACTTAGACCACCCTTATATTATTATATTATATCAAAATAGTTATATTAAGAATAATACTTCTGCATCACAGCGGAACCTCTTAACACCTTAAAATTGTGTTAGTCATTCAATACCCTGCTAATTAGAAATTCAAGCTTTCTGTGCGATCCTAATGCTATAATAAAGTTAATTAGTATAGTTAAGTAGGTTTAAAATTGTGCCTCCTATGACTGTATGTGTTGAGTATGGCTAGCAAAATCATGAATGTAATATAATTAGTTTAAAGGGCCCATATTATGCTATTTTCTGGTCCTGGAGTTGTTTGTTGTTTCATTCGCAGATATATAACACAAGAGACAGTTTCTCTTTCAAATAGAAAGCACTCTGTTCTGCCTAATGTCATGCGGTATTACAGGAAGTGCTCGACTGTGTTTTAAAATTTCATACACCTTCAGTAGAATCGTTTGGATCATTTTAGCTCTGGAATGGCCAATCTCTACTGAACTAAAAGTAAAAGGTAGCTGTTAACTGGAAAACTACTGCTTCATGACATCACAAGGTGGAACAGAGCATTTTGAACTTTGGAGATTCAGACAGACTAATAATGAAGGGTTGCTCAAACATGTGTGAGTGAAACAAGACACAACTTTGTATATTTTTGGTAATTCTAAGGTAATTCTAACATTGCTTAAAGCTCACAAGAGTCAATTGTCTGTCAATTTAGGACCCTTAAAGACTGTCTTACCTAATGAGTCAATGCTTTATTATTTAGATTTTTCATATATTCTAAATGGCATTTCCTTTTTCTTCCCTACAGCGGAGAACTGCTCTGGATATCGTACGTGTGGCCAGTGTCTGGACCAGCCTGGGTGTGGGTGGTGCACAGACCCCAGTAACACAGGCAGGGGGCAGTGCATCGAGGGCTCTTACCGTGGGCCATTCCAGACCTCTGTTCCTGCTCCCTCCACTCTGCCCGGCCTGCCCCCCAGCCCCCAGCCCGCTCTCAATGCCACCATGTGTCCCGGTGATGCCAAGTACAACTGGTCCTTCATACACTGCCCAGGTAAACTGTCTATTCGAACAAGACTGAGCAAATACCTTGTTTATTCTTATATAGTTCTTTTCAAAATCATTTTAAAGATCCTGTGTATTGTAATTTGAAGGCTTCTTGATTAATTGGTTAACTGATTAACAAAAAATACAAGTTATTGTTCTGTTTTGCTATAATTTATCATATGAGACCCTATAGAATTGAGGTCAAGAATATACAATTCAACTACTGACTGAAAGTACAAGTTGTATTAATTGTATTAATTTTACCACTTTTTGTGTGCATTTCATAATTATTAAAGGTGGTGGTCCATCTACCAGAAAACTTGCACAGTGCACCTTTTAACTATTGTTTAATATGAAACAAAATAATGTATGTATTGATGTCTATAGCACATTGTTAAAAATGTATGAATTATTGTTTCATTCAATGAAGAATGCATAGGCCAGAAAATCCCATATAAAATACACAATTATTTATTTTTAGTCAGTTTGTTGAGTCTCATAAACTTTTAGAGTGCACATACCCATCGCACTATTCTGTGTTTTACAGCGTGTCAGTGCAATGGGCACAGTCAGTGTGTGAACGAGAGCGTGTGTGAAAAGTGTGAAGACCTGACCACTGGACGGCACTGTGAGAGCTGCATCTCTGGTTTCTACGGTGACCCCACAAATGGAGGAAGCTGCCAACGTGAGCAATCACACACACATGCACACACAGACATACACACATACGCACTAAGAGCTGGGAAGAATCAAAGTATATCTGGGAAGATTGGCAGGCAATATTGACAAAAAATATTTCTACATCTTTACAACAATATTTAGATGATATTATGCAATTCCAACACAAATGTGCTAAAATGTCTTTGTTGTGGGTTACGTATCAGACAAAAGGACTGTACTCACCAAAGTGCAGAAACATCACTTTTTTTTTAACTTTATATTGAAATGCAGAATATTTTCCAAAGAACATCCATAATACTGATAATAATACTGATACTGATAATAATAATAATATACCTGTACTAGACCTAAACCTTAACAGACAGAAGCCATGGACTGAAATTAGTAATTAATCAATGAATTGAACCCAGGACTGACACTGGCCCAAATGGGGACAACACAGTGATTCAAACTTAATATAAAAGTATCTGTATAAAATAGTTTTCATTCTTCGTAGCACCTGAAAGAGCCTGTGCACTGCCAACGCTACTGAGACCAGAGTTTGAAAACCGCTCCACTAAATCATCCAGTCACTCCACCAGCTTCATTTAACTTGTCAGTGTTTTACAGTGCAGTTTATGTCAGCCATTTTCCTGTCTGCAGAGCACTGTAAAAAACCCTCCCTGGGGATAATAAAGATTTACTTGAGCTATAAGTGACAGGCTGTCATTAGAACAACAAATCAATTGAGTTGTTGGACAGTTTAATTTACCTTAGCAATATATCACTGGTTGTCTGGTATGTTTTGTGGATTTGGGATGTGAATTACTATTGTCAGCCTCATGGGATGAATACATTTACTTGATCAGTGACAGTTGATCGATAGCACAGCATATGGTCCCCAAGACGTTAACTGATTTACATTATTTCTCACTTACTTAAAACTACTCTGACAGACTTCAATAGGAGTTGTTACCTTGCAGCGAAAATCAGTGTTGAAAACTAACTGAATACATATATATAGAGACTTATATCACAGATTAAAATAAAAATAAAGGAACTTAATCCCAGTAAGCCAATTCTAAATAGAGAGTATCATTTAACAAATAATTAGCCAGAGAAGTGACTTATTCAACCCTCTACAACTCAAATCTTATTGTATTACAACTAAAATAACAAAAATCTCGCCACTTTTGCACAGAAAATGTACGCACAATAAATATATAGTTCCAGCTTTCATATAGTGAATGATAAATTGATATAGTAATTATTATGACAAGCCTAGTATTCCATTACAGTTACTCTTTCATTTGGTGGTATTCAGGATAGAGTTACTTTTCTAAAATCAAAGGAACACATTTTACTTGATCACACAATTAAGGCTTCAGATTACACAGAAGAATAGAAAATATAACTCGTGCTGAGGGCATATGTATTTGTTGTTTTTCCAATGAGTGAAACAAATATAAAGAACATTTTTATTCTAATTTACACTATAAGTTAAATGCTACTTGATGTAAAAGTATTCTATGCATTCAGAATACAGTAATCTAATTGGCCCATGTAAAATTGCAAAATACATTTTAATGCAGGTTTTCAGTATCTTCTAAATGCATTTTCAAAGTATTCTTCCCACCACTGGAGATAACTAAGAGTGGTGAAGAGATTTTATCTGGTCACAGTGCATAACGCAGGTTTAATCTGACTGAATCAAAGTTTAATATCTTGCATATGTCTAAACATTGCCGTGTTTAGCTATGAAATGTCCTTATAATACCTTTTTACATACTTTTTTTATTTAGTTTACTTTGTAAAATTGAACAAACCAAGGCTGAAGTCTGTCTGTCTATCCTTGTGTTATCTGACCTCACAGGCACTGTCTGGAGGCCATTCTCTTTTAAAGCCTGAATTACTCATTGGATAAACCTTTAGCTATTAAAACATAATGGGGAAATTATACATCTCTTGTACTAGCTAAGGACACAGTTTCTAAGTTTTCACTCATCTATACTTTAAAACAAATGGTATAGAACAGAAAATGATGTGATAAAGTGCAACAAGTTAAAGTAATTATGACTATTAATGTTATTAAAAAATTTCTTGATTTTATATACTTGTAAATATTATCTTGTCAACAGGTCCTAGTTGGCTTTTTGAACCTTAAGTAGCTTCAAATAAAATAGCTGAAGTAAATATAGACAGTAAATTATAATATTGAAACAAACCATAGCCAGTATTATCCCACAAAAAAACTATTCTAAATGTACAATATTGTTAAAAAGCCCAAACTGCAATAAATAAGCAAATACAAGATTTACATAGTTAGTTTGTATCTATAATGACTTTAAAATTCAACTGGCTATAGCTCAAATCTGATCGTAGAGCAGAAAAATAACCAAAATTTTCCCACTAGCGCAAGGGAAAAAGTCACCACCATAAATACTGAGCCCAAAAACAATTATATTAACAATTATAGTCATCATAGTTACAGCCTTAAATAAATCAATATTAATAAAAATATGGAACCTTTTCATGATATGAGATGATCTGTATGTATAAATCTATGTATTGTATTGTAATATCTGTGCTCTTGTGTGTGTCTCCAGCGTGTAAGTGTAACGGCCACGCCTCCATGTGTAACCCAAACACGGGGAAGTGTTTCTGCACCACCAAAGGCATCAAGGGAGACCGCTGCCACCTGTGAGTTCACACTTGTCTCTGTCTCTGCCTGTTTCACTCTCACCTTCTCTTCACTTATTAGGAGGATACATTCTATGGCACAGTGTCAAAGCACATGGGCTCCTTTGGCTCTCACTCAAGTCCGTTTTTCTCAAGACAACTTTCACAATTTAAGTCGATTCATATATTATTATAGGTTGAAAAAGTGAAACAAATATTTGCAGAAACTGTTATTCTGAAGGTGTTTTGCAAATAGATATCTGCAATTTTTAGCCAGTTGGCCTTAAATTTCCAACATAGCTGATATTTTTGTTTTGGCTGACCTGCTGCTTAAGAATATGCATCAAGCTTTATTTGAGGGCTTTAGTGCAACCGTGACTGTACAAAACGTAACTACACATGTCTCCTAAAGGTTTATGGTGAATAGAAGCTCTAGATGACAGTGGTAAATTAGGCATTGACATCGTCCATGAAAAAATCCATATTGGTCGATCTCTATTTTCAACATAAAGCTTTTGTCACTTACTCACAATGGGACATTAAGTACCACTGCATCAAAACATTGCTCAAGTATGGTGCTAGGAAACTACTCTGAGAAGTACATTAAAAAATGTAACTGAGTAGTACCCACCCTTGTTTATTGCTGACCTTCTACACTCCAGGACCTGTTGCTATTTTTGTCCTAAACAGGTCAGATGAGCTCAACAGTTAATGGACATTTCTGATTTCAAAAGTAAGATTCCCTTGTATTTTTCCCATAGCAACCAAACCACTGCTCGTTGATAGGCAGATAATCTATGGGGAAAAGGAAAGGGACTTCAAATTCTCAGAGTGATCGGCACTTTATCATGCTGTCTGTGATTTCGGTGTTTTCCTGATTTGTGACTTCCCAAATGTCAGGCCTCTTCACCGACTCTCTTCTTTAGGATTTATCAGTTCTTAAATCTTCCGTTATCCACTCTACTCCAACTCCTTGTCACTTTTCTTCCCCCCCACTTTCTTTTGCCCCATTTGTGCCCATCTAATCCTCTGTCTCTTTTTTTTATCTAGGTGTGAAGTGGAGAACCGCTACCAAGGCAACCCGCTCAAAGGGACATGCTACTGTAAGTCCAGTCTGATCCCAATTAGACCAGGTGAAAGTAGGACTTCCATAGGGTTTTTGTGAGGACCACTGTAATAGCCTGACTCCTGGTCCTTGTTCTGGTTAGAGCTAAGACATTTACACTGCTCAAATCTGAGAGAAGCTTCATGTTTGATGTTACGCTTGAAAAGAATCAGATTTTTGAGGAAAAATCTTGGGTTTAAATCCAAATGTGTGGACGTAAAATACTGCTGGTTATTTTTAAGAATTCAGTAGTACACTACAACTTCCACTGCTTTTTCTTCATGTAGTTACTAGGGCTGGAATCACAGGGTCCCTCATGATTCGATGCGATACATGGCTCACAATACGATATTTTCATGATCTGTGGATAATCAAAATGTCGACTTGGTACTCTGTGATATAGTCCTGTTTTTTTACAACCAAATACATTTTAGCTGCGGTCACACACAAAAATTGCTAAAATAACCAAAAATACTCTTACTCTAGATGATATATTGATACAGCAAGCCACGATATTGATACTGTATCACGATAAATCAATATTTGTGCACTCTCCCAGTACTGCTAATACTACGGTAGTCTACTTTGCCACCTAGGCTACTGCTGAATGGTTGCTACTATTTGCATATATTAATAATCAAAATACCAGAGAAACCCATTCTACTTTCACTACATTCTTGTACTTCGGTGTTTTTGTGCTCTTTTTAACACTCTGGTTGGTTCAAATCCTTTTCTTTTTAATGCTCAGCTTTTCAATAGAAACACCAAAACAAGTCATGTTTTTTGCCCTTGGCTCCAGTTTTGGGCAAACCCGGAACAGCGGCGTTTGTCGGAAAAGAAAGAAGCGTACAAGGACAGAAATTTTGTTGTTGCCAGAAAAGAATGCATCAAAAACATCCGCCCCAAGAGTGGTCGGGATGTTGAGTTTTGTGTCAAAGGTTTTACAGAATCAAGAACACAACAAATTGGCTTCACCACTGGCAGCCAGCGCTAGCACTTTGTTCATTTAGTTTTGAACAGGAAAGATCAAACTGGTGTTAGACTTTTGAAGAATCTACAAAATGACAGGGTTTTAAAGGGCAGCCAAGGTTGAATTTTTGTGTCGATGTGTTCCTAGGCTTATCCAGAATTCTATATTAGAGGTGCACTATGCAACTTCTAAGATGGAGGGTTCACTACTTGCTTGTCTCCATGGCCGTGTCATTTTTTTTTTTTTTTGCTGTAATGTTCCACAGTTGGGCATTAAACATATCTCCCTTGCATTTATTCAGTTACGGATGTTTTATAGCTCAAAACTACCTTAAATAACACAAATTCTTATCATGTGCAGGTGTGCTTCTCCATAGATCTGGTGATTAATTTGTCTCCATTGTGATGACCACGTTTATTTTTATACAGTGAAAGAATCAAGGCAAAGGAGTAACATCACCCTGGAGACAAGCATGTCACGAATCCTCCACCAGAAAAGTTACACAGTGCACCCTAATTTCAATTTTCCTAATACTTCAGTCTCTAACAAAATATAGAATAAGATATTACAATGCAGCTTCAAAAAATAAGACTAGAAAAATCACACCAGAAATTGTAAAGTAAAATTTTCATATTTTTAATTGAAGAAGTGCATTTACAATAATCCCAGGTTTTTTGTGTCTTTTGCTTTAAACTTTTCTGAAACTAAGTCTGTTTAACTGACAGGTAGTCGTTACTGTAACTTTTTGAAGAATGCTTCAGAAAATACCTAGTGTAGTATTACCCCATAGTCAAAAAGTACTACAATAGTCAAGGTTTGAGAACTCCATGGAATTCCAATTAATGTGAAACTTTAACCAGATTTGACTGAAATCAGCAGTAAACCAGACAATTTAGTTACCCAAAAAGAAGCAATAGTTTCACTGACTAATTGGTGAAAAAGTGATATGAAAAGGAGCCATTAATCTGCCAGTCCTATCTCAATTAAGCATATTTTTTTTTAAGTCCTGGTGAGCCTTTTTAGTAAAATATTTTTGCTAAATTTGAAACCGCATTGATCAGAATTTCTAATTCAAAAAGCTGAGAGTTATAACTATTCATGGGTTTGAGCTTTTTTAATAAGCAACACTTTGAGAACTTTTTCACATTCAAAAGTCTGGATATTTTGTTTTGAATTGTTAACCATCCTATATTATGCAAAACTGACTTATGTGAGGTTTAAGCCTTGTTATAATGCTCATCAAAAATATAAATATGCAGTGTTTGTGTGTTAAACGTGTGAAAGAAACAAAGCGCAACTCCAGGTCTGTTTTTGATGAGGAAACATTATAACAGATAAAAAAAATAGCATAATATATACCCTTCATATGACTCATTTTGTTGCAGACCACTACTGTTGCAAACCCCTAGACTTCTTCTCTTCTTTTTACTTTTAAACTTTCAAAATCTTCTTTATACTTTGCTCTGTTATCAAGGTGACCAAATGTCATCTCCACATCTGCATCTGTGACAGCCAGTGGTTATAGTAACGTTCCTTTTAGAAAACCACTGCTCTGCCCAGTTCTTCTTCTCACATTGGTGCCTTTTTCTTCTCTTTGCACAGACACGCTCCTGATCGACTACCAGTTCACCTTCAGCCTGTCGCAGGAGGACGATCGCTACTACACGGCCATCAACTTCGTAGCGACGCCCGAGGAGGTGTGTGTGTGTGCTCCCTGGGTTATAGGAGTCTGCAGAGTCAGCTTCAGTGGAGGAGAATGAACTCACACCACTCATTCAGACACTGGGGGCGCTTTAAATAATGATTACAAGGACATCTCATAGGGCATAAAGAAGTATAGTGCGTAGTGCAGATCTGTCTAGAGAAATTAAGCGTGACATCAATACATTACAGTGGTAAATTGAGGTTCATTGATTTAATATCCCAATTGTGAATAAAGGCTTTAAATAGTAGTAGGGAGGGTATTAATTGAATTACATGTCTGACTGAGCACGTTTTTCCCTTTGGCTTTGTAATAATGGCTTTTTTATGGTTTAGTCTTGAACATTCCAAATCTAGACTTGTAGTGAATGAGTCAAATATGTTTTCTGCTGATTTGGTGAGTAAAAACATTAACTGGATAGAAAAGCTTTATAATCATATGTTTAAAATAGAGATAGACCTATCGATCAGTTGGCCAGTGTATCAGCTGTTGGCCTTAAATCTCCAGCACAGGCTGATACTATGTTTGGGCCAACCAGCTGCTTAAAGAATACTCTTACAGAGCTTCATTTTGAACAGTTCAGTGCAAAGAGACTACACAAAACTGCTCCCTTATAGGCTAATGGTAAAGGGTGATAGGTAAGGTTGTAATTATGGTTGAAATTAATTTAAATTTAAACAGAATTTTTGTGAAATAATCTAAATCAGCAGTGTTTATCAGCCATTTGTTCTCTCTGGATGATAAGTAATCAGCATTGGCCATTAAAAACATATTCAGTCAATCTCTAGTTCAAAGTAGGCTGATTTTCTGGAAGGCTTACCACTTGCTGGTCTCCATGGAGATGCTACTGCTTTGCCTATTATGTTCCACAGTGTGGCATTAAGTATATATTGCATAGAGTCAAGCGGGTAACACCACCACATAAGACCACACCAAGTCACAAGTCAGTTCTGTAAAGAGGCAAGCCCACTTACATTAAGACTACATTTATATGATGACAGTCTGAACCGAAGACGCAAAAGTGGCGTCTCATCTTCATTTTTTATTCCGCATTTAGATGAGCATTTTTGGGAGGAAATCTGCATGCATACGGTGACACAAAAGTGTGTGGAACTGGATTGGGTATACATGCCAGGCAGCTAGGTGGTGATGTATGTGATGTAAACATGTACGCGATGTGAACAGATCTGACCAGAGTTTTGTGTCTTAGGCAGTGTAGATGGAAACACTATGGCAAAGCGTATTTTCCACTCTGGAGGGTAGCTTCAGATTTTTGCATTTTTAAGCCCTAAACGAAAGACTCTTCTGATAAAATATTTTGTTGTTTTTACCAAACAGGCCCAAAGAAGCATTTTTTCAAGGTATTTTTCAGCATTAAAAACAGTATTTGAAGTTTAATGTGGAACATTCCAGGCAAAGCTCAACATCTCATCATGGAGACAAGCAGATGGTGTACCTCAGAAAAATCACAGTGTACATTTTTGAGTAAATAAAAACCTATAAAGACCCTGGAAAGCCGTATTACCCACCTGTCAGGGACTGCAGGAGGGTGGACCTTATTCTACCTTACAACTATCTTCTCACAGTCCATCAAACTACTCAACTATTCCTAATCCTCGCCCAAAACCCAAACCCTCACATATTTCCTGTAATAGCACCACATAAAATCCATTGATCTCTGCGTCACTCCCCCAGATGTTTTCACTGCAGTGAGGCTCTTGTCCGCTGCTGTTTACGGGACTACAACATCTGGAGCGGAGCGAAAAACATAAAGATCTGATTAAATATCCCAGATGGCACCTCTCACCAGCTAAGCCTGTGCCAAAACCTAACAAAGGCAGCTAGAGGTGTGTACAAATGTGTTTTTAAAGGCACCAGAAATGACTTTTTAATCACCCGCGCTACACTTATTTGATGGATTTCCTCCATAAATTCACCTTGCATCAAATGAGGCAAATCTGCTGAGTGTAAAACCAGCGGGAGTGGATGCCAAACGCTGATCTTAGGTAATGTTTAATGAGCCAGCAGTCATAGGTTTTAGCAAAAGTCTTAAATGAATGGAGAAAAAGGAAATGGTAAAACAACTTTGACAGTAGGGCTGTAGCTGACTAAAGACATTTCCTGTTGATCGATTAGTCAGTAAAAAGAGGGCGTGGCAAAAGCTCCCAACGTTATTATGCATCTGTATGTTTCTGACCTAAACTGCACTCACAAACTAAACAAAAACAACTATTTACACAGGAAAAAGTACTGAGAAACTATGTACAGTACTTGTATAAAGACTTATTAAATGCGTGAATTATTTGCCTTTTTCCATATTAATACCAAAAAATACCAAATCTTCAGCTAAGTCACTCACTCATGAACTTCTTTATGCTGTTGTCACATATAAATATTTATAATGAAATGTTTAATCAACTAATAGAAATTTAGGTCGACTAAGACACCATCGACCAATGAATCGAGACCTTTTACTGTCCTATTTGAGAGTGTGAAGACAGGCATTTCATTCTAATGTCATTGTAATGTTTTGCGTTTAGGCTACATTTATATGATGGCCTGAACAGAAGACATAAAAGTGACGTTGCGTCTTCACTTTTTATTTTGCGTTTAGACGAGCATTTTTGGGAGGGAATCTGCGTGCATACGGTGACGCAAAAGTGTGTGGAATTCGATTGGGTATGCACGCCTTCGACATGTTTGTTTCTGTGCATTGTATGTCAAGTAAACTCGTATGCGACGTGATCAGACCTGACCAGAGTTTTGCGTCTTGGGCAGTGTAGATGGAAATGCTACGGTGGAGCGAATTCAACTTTGCCACTCAGGAGGGCGGTTTCAGATATTTGCGTTTTTAAGCTCCAAAAACGTCATCACCGTCTAAGCGAAAGGCACCAACGATAAAATATTTTGTCAGTTTTACCCACAAGCGTTCTCATGTAAATAGGTCCTTAAACTACCTTTAAATACCGTGTCTGTGTCCTTGGCAGGTCAAGCTTTGATTCATTGGCATTCACTTTTATTCACCTTTTTGACCACCTTTGTGTTATCCCTCATTTTGAACTACTTAATTTAAATGTTTTAATACATTTTTTTAATTTAATTTTATGATATAAACCTGGTTTTAGTATAGCTCTGTTGTTATGTTCCAGAGTCGGACCCAGTCATGTCCACTGTTCACAAAGTACCTTGCAAAAAGTTCTAAGTCACTAAATAAACATGTTTCATTTGCAATTCCTATACCTGGATTTCAAAATGATCACCTCTTCTATGTTACTGGTGCAAGGTACTGTGTTAATGATTTAAAGCTGATGTCATGAACATTCCCTGGGGGTGTGATGCTAACTGTAGGCACTTCTCTGTCTGAGGCATTGCAAGAATTTAATCTGAGCTTTGTTTTAACACAATCTGACCATAAAAAAATGGCTTAGCTGGAACTACAACAGGTGTGCTCCTAAACAAGTCTGTCACACATAAAATTACAATCACAAGCTAGTTTGTTTTTTGTTTTTTGTTTTCATTTAGTCACACTCACTTTTTTTGCTGAAAATCAAACGCCTAAATAGGACCATGAACGCTTGTATTGATCACAGGCTTGAATCCATTTTGTGTTTTTTCTTTAAGTTTTCAGACAATCGTAAAACTTTTTTGGCTGTGTTTCCATGGTAACTCGTAAGCATTTCACCATTAGAAATACATGTAGAACACTCCCAGCCTGATGTCACTGCACTGTCAATAATCATATATCAAAATTTTTCTAAAACCATCACTATAAATGGTCGTTTTTTAACAAAGAAGCAAAAAGATAACTCTTATTCTGAAGTCTTACTCTTTTTGCTGACTCTTTTATGTGTGTTTTAGCCAAACCGAGATCTGGACATGTTCATCAATGCCTCAAAGAATTTCAACCTGAACATCACATGGGCTACCAGCTTCACAGGTACAAGTCATCTGCTGTCTAATGAAACTAAATTCTGTCTGTTTAAGGTAGGGCTAGGTTCACACTTGTGCTGGTTTGGTCTTTCTTTGATCCTGGTTTAGTCCTAATGTAGACTTGGTTAGGTCTGGATTTAGTCGGAGTTTAGTCGGAGTTTAGTCGGAGTTTAGTCGGAGTTTAGTCGGAGTTTAGTCGGAGTTTAGTCGGAGTTTAGTCGGAGTTTAGTCTGGACTTGATCTGGACTTTGTCTGGGTTTAGTCTGGTTTAGTCTGGTTTTAGTCTGGTTTTAGTCTGGTTTTAGTCTGGTTTTAGTCTGGGCTTAGTCTGGGCTTAGTCTGGGCTTAGTCTGGGTTTAGTCTGGGTTTAGTCTGGACTTAGTCTGGGCTTAGTCTGGGCTTAGTCTGGGCTTAGTCTGGGCTTAGTCTGGGCTTAGTCTGGGCTTAGTCTGGGCTTAGTCTGGGCTTAGTCTGGGCTTAGTCTGGGCTTAGTCTGGGCTTAGTCCTAATGTAGACTTGGTTATGTCCAGGTTTAGTTCTAGTGTTCTAAGACTGGGCTTAGACTGGGCTTAGACTGGCTTAGACTGGCTTAGACTGGGCTTAGACTGGGCTTAGACTGGGCTTAGACTGGTTTTAGACCTGGTTTAGACTGGGTTTAGATCGGGTTTAGATCGGGTTTAGATCGGGTTTGGACTGGGTTTGGACTGGGTTTAGACGAGGTTTAAACTGGGTTTAGAGTGGGTTTTGTTCTTTAGTCCTCATTTTGTTGTGAATGCAGCCTTAGTGGGCTGTTATTGTCTGTTATTGTCTTTGTCATGTGTAGCAGGTACTCAGACCGGTGAGGAGATCCCCATTGTGTCCCGGAGCAACATCAAGGAGTTTAAAGACAGTTTTTCCAACGAGAACTTTGATTTCCGCAACAGCCCCAACATCACGTTCTTTGTCTACGTCAGCAACTTTACGTGGCCCATTAAAATTCAAGTAAGCTTTTCAAAAGGTCCATCCATGTGGCCAGAGTTCCTCTCCCCCCTGTGCAAAAAATTCAAAATTTTCTGTTAGGTTCAGTTATGTATCTAGTTTAGACATGCTACAAGAATGACATTTTGCCTGTATGAAATATATAACTAACATGCTTTTTTGCAAGTTGATGTATTTGGAAGTCCAGCTTTTAAAGCAACTGATAATAATAATAATAATAACCTGGACTGCACTAACCATGCAACTTTAAGAAATGTATGCATATCGCCTAATACTAACATTACAAACAAGCTTTTCTATATAGTCATAATATTTTACAATAAAGTGATTTTGGCATCGGACCATGTCTTTTTCTGACTATATGTCTATTGTTTTATTAGGATCACCATTAACTGCCATTGTAATCACTGCTAGTCTAGTGGGATCCTTTTAAATGTTGTACATGGTTAAATGATGTCAACTAGCCTGATCCATCAGACGGTTTCACTTCGTAGAAACCGTCTGACCATTAGGATTCGTTCGCTTGATGGTAGTCGGGTACTTTTTCATTTAACCAATCGCTGCTATTTGATCATGACGTATGTAATGCGCCGCTAATGGGGCTAACTGGTATATTAAGCTTTTCCCATATCCCATAGGAAGAAGGACAATAACGTCTTTCCCCTTGATAAAATTCGCCAAACATTCTCTTTATTCTGGCTTTAAATCCTCGATCTCGAGCAGTTTAATACTGTGGAACATTTCAAGGAAGAGCTATGACATTTCCATAGAAACAAGAAGGTAACTGACCAAAAAGTTACATAGTGCACGTTTTAAAATGCAGTCAATCGCAGATAAATTAGACCATTTTAAATATTACAATGTCCTTATGCATTAGTATTTAAATGATTACTGCACATTGCGTGCATCACCATAGATGTATGCATATTTACACTAATTCTGTAGAAAATTAATCTTTAGATTTGACGCTCTGCCGGTCCTCTCCTGGCGTAAAGTGTGGCAGAACATGAAAATAAGGACGCCTTGGAAACCTTTGAGTAAAATATGACAAGATAAATCAGTCACTTAACGCGTCCGGGGGGATTAACAAAGACGGAGAATGGACTGCTGGTACCTTTGGTTAATTGATCAGGTCCAGGCTTTGAAGCACAGTCGTATCTCCCTCAGACAGTCTCCGAAACAACATTGTTCCCTGTAACGTTCAGAGCGGAGAGAGGTGATGTGGGATGTTTATGTATAAGAGCATTATCGCTGTGTGACAAATTGAAAATGCAATGTATGTTTTTACAGTTGTCAGCGCTTCTGGCTCTGCTGCTTGAATCTCATCATGCTTTATATGGGCTTCCTTTACATCAACCTTGCATTACTTTATACTGAAGATAGTGAATAATGCTTGCTATACTTTTACCAGCATGTTCTTGGTTGCCTATAATACTAACCCGATTCATCAAATAGTCAAAGTTCATGTAAATTAGTTTAGTGTTTATTGTTTAGTATTTGTTTTCTAGACTCTGGTACATCATCAATCACCATTCATGCCATACTAATATATTTGACTGATGTTTCTTACATTTAACTTTCAACCACTGCACTTTTTAAGAGGACTTATGACCACCACTTGATATGTAATTTTAGCTGTGGCCCTCCTTCCTGGGGCACTTCCTCTTTAACGCTTGTGTTGTGTTGTTGCTGTATGAGAAGTGTGACCTTTTGTGTACTATTGGCAGGAACTAATTCGAAACCAGTTTACTGCGGAGTTGTTGAAACATTTCATGACTTGGCCAAGAAGGGTTCCAGGGGTTAGATTTAGCACACATTTTTATCAGATCTTCAAATATTGTTCCTATATTGCACAATAAGTGACCAGTTCAAGTTATTCACCATTTTTACTGGCTTTGCAACTGCAATATTTCCAGGTCCAGGTAAGGTAAGGTATATTTTTTATTATTGCTGAGATAGGGACAATAATCTTAAATTAGAAGACTTGCCCTCTGTTTGTAATGGCAGTTGTTTTGATTGTGATTCCTGTTTTTCTTCCATATTTGCTTCTTTGGGGCATTGTCATTACTATATTTTATCAGCTTCTTTGTGTTAAATATTAGCGTGATAACTATTTGTAAAAATGTTCACCCATGCACTGTATATATATGTATAAAACAACATTACTAGCCTTGACAGTGTGCTGAGGTAGCTCTGTGGTTATGAATGAGCCTGTGTTGAGTCCACACAGAGACCTGCTGTGCTCTACTCCGGACAAGTACATCCAGGGCTGGGTTTACACCTCGCCCCAAGAGCTGCAAAAGGAAAACCTGTTCACACATAAATGCAGCTTTGACTTGAATTACCAACCAGCTCGTAGCTAATGGTAGTAACAGTAGTAATAGTAGTCATGTTTAATGCTTTGACCTGCCTTGTACCAACTCTTGCATATTTATATTGAAGCTTCATACTGTACATTAATTAATATGCATTGTCCTAATTCAAATAAGCCAAAATAAACAGTAGTGCTGCCTACCTAACTCACTCCAGTTCAGCACCGGACTAGATCCCTTAACAAATCATATGACAGGTTTTGATGACTCTCTAATTTAAACTTAATTAGGTGGGATAATACTTGGTGTAAATATAAGTGATAGTTTTACACAAATCAAGAAGCAATTTGTGAAGAAAAGTTGAAAAATATGAAGTTGTTTACAGGAAGTAGACAGATCTATTTGAGAGACTTCTATATTTATAACGTCACACTGAGGAGAATTCTATAAAATGTAACTCTAAACATCATTTCCACAAAATAAAGATGTTTCCTTCTATTTTTATTTATCAAATGATAATGTCTGTGTACTTTATAGGAGTTTTGCATAAATTGTTTTCACTTAGTTTTAAGGCTGGCTTTGAACCTTTTAAAATTTGATGGCATCACTTATAGTCGCTCTCCTTTTTGATTGTTGTGATTCACATTTGGAGTTTAATGATTAATCAACCAGAACCAGAAATATTGTCTAATGTACAGTATATTGGGCAAAATTTGTTTTAAGTTGCAGCTAAGTGAGTCCGTTGAACTTGAAGTAGCTTGACATATGTGGGAATTCTTATCCAGTGTTGTCTATAGTATTTAGGTTTATGTTTTGTACATTTTAGGATAGGTATAGTCATTGTCAACCCTTGCTCATATTCTCTACATTTGTCCATTTGAGTCTAATATTGATTCTTATGCAAAACATCTCTGATAGTTGCAAAGGTAAACTCCACCACCAAGTCCTGTGTGTAGTTGTTTAGTTTTTCCCCTGCTTCCCTCAGTCTTTTCCGGGCACAGATTTAAGCGGCCACTCCATATAAGCTCCTTCCTTCTGCCCTCCTCCTGAAATACAAGCCCCCGTCCTCCATGCTCTGCTCTGTCACCGCTCAGCCTTTAGCCGCTCACAGCTGGAGCGGACTCACCTGTGCCTTATTTTGGGTAGGATCATATAGGACATCTACCCCACCCCCCAAAACACATCCTTCTTATTCATGGAGCTTCGATAGCAAGGTAACATCTCCTCTTCGCTTTTCTCCGTTTAACTTCTGTGCCTTCAAATGAGCTGTTAGCTTTTTAGCACTGTAAACTTCACCTTTTCTTGAGTATCCAATGAAATAATGATCATTTTGATATGATATGGACCAGCAACACTTTCTGTTTATATTTGGTAACATAGCAAGACGCAACTGACAATGCAATCCATAGCTTTATACTGTAGAAGAATCTATATTTATATGACAGAAGGACCAGTGATACTTAAAGCTGCACTATGTAACTTTTCTGGTAGAGGGTTTTCCACCTGCTTGTCTCATTGAGGTGACTCCTTTGCACAGAATCTTGTATTTATTAAGTTACTGTTTTTTATTGACCTTAAAAAACAAACCAACAAACAAAAACAAAACAAACAATGAAACACAATTGTAACTGTTGGTGAGGTCTTCTCTCCACAGATCTGACTTGTAAATTATCACTGTAGGGAGAAGCAGGACAAGTTTAGTGCCATACTGTGTAACATGACAGCCAAAGCAATAACATCTCCATGGAGACAAGACGGTGATGTGCCTTCCACCAGAGAAGTTACATTACGCGTACAGTAAAGGCGTTTGATTCGTTATTAAATGCGTATGCGCCCTGAGCTCGTCGTGGTCATTACATCTTAAACAGTGCCAGGAGCAGCCACGTCTCTCGGAAGCTTCCATTTCCCCCATTTATTCCCGTATCTGTACTTCCCTTCTGCATTGTGCCCGCCGTCGGGGTGGCGTTTGATTGGTCGCGCTCGTAGGCGGCTGGCCCTGCGGAGTTGGCACAGAGAGCAGAGCTGGTGTGAGCAGTCGAGAAAGAGCAAGGGCAAAGTGGAATGTTAAGATGAAACACATGCTGCATTGAGAGTGGGCTGTGTGCTGCCTAAGCTCTCTGTAGCCCAGCGAAAGCCAACTCTCTCTCTCTCTCTCTTTTCCTCCTCCTCTCACTCCATGTTTCTCCCTCTCTCCCTTGCTCTTTATCACCCTGTCTCTCTTCTGTATTTTTTTTGTTTGTTTTCTCTTTCACGTTTTCTAACTCCCTGCTCACTCTCTTGCCTTCTCTCATCTACTACTGTCTCTCTCTCCCCTCACCTCTCGCTCCCTGTTTCTCTCTCTCTCCCCCTTTCTCTCTCTTCTCTTATCTCTCTCCCTGTTTTTTTTCCTAGCCCCCACCTTGTTCCTTTACACCCCCCCCACTCTCTCTCGTCATCTTCTTCCTCTTGCTACCTGTTTCTCTCTCTCCACTCTCCCTCCTCCCATCTCTCTCCTTCTTCTGTCTATTTTTCTGCTTTCTCTTGCACGTTTTCTAACCTCTCACACATAATCTGTCTCTTCTCCATCTCCCTCTCTTGCTCCCTCTTGTACTTTTTCTCAATATTTATCTTCCCCCTCCTTTGGATTCTCCTTCTTTCGCCCTCTCCCATTCCTTTCCACGCTCTTCTCTTCTTCTTCTTTGTTTCTCTCGC